ATTGAGCTGGTGGCCCCCGCCGCCGGTCGACTGCACAAATAGGCGGCCGAGGAATCTTGGGATCTGCGGTGAATTGGTACGGTTCGTGGCAAAGTGCAGGACGCCCCATATGGCGACAAAGTCTGTAGAGTGCGCGTAGTGCTCGATATGGCCAATAGCCCGATCTTTACTCACGCTCATCGTTCGCGAACTGGACAAGGAGTTCTCCCGACTCGGGGTCCTATCTTGCGCGGGAGCCTTGGCGTCTATATCTCTCTGGCCATCGACTACAGGTTCACTGGCGAAGCTCGTCTCGGTGAGCAGGGTGTGGATCGCAAAGCGCGGATGCTCCTTCATAAGATTCTGCGCAAAGGCGTGGCGATGCGGGTTATTGAAGTGATTCGCGGCGCAGCCAAAGGTATACACCTCGAGTTTGCTGAGAAGATCCTGCGGCAACTCTTGCAGCAGCCAGTCCAGAACTAGACCGCCTTCGATGCCGCCCTGGCTGTGCAGTATGAGCACGACCTTGGACTTGCCGGGATCGTAAAGGATGTTTTTGAGCAGGCGGTACGTGATGCGCACATCTGCCGTCGCATAAGAGAAATTGCGCTGGAGAAGACACTCAAAGACATCAAACAAGATGCCGCGTGTCTGGTTGTGGATGCCGAGGACGGGGCGCTTGAATGTCAATGCCAAACGGTTCAGGTTGCTCTTGAACCAGTGTCGCCCGACAGCCACACCGTTGACAAATACCCACTGCTCGTGTGCGTGCTCAGGCAGCTGGGCCGCAAAGACGTCGTCGGAGCTGAACTCGCGTCCCGTACCGTTGAGAAGCTTGCAGAGCAGCCAGTTGCCCAGCAGGAAGGCGCCGATGCCCCCCGCAGCCATCCAGACCGGCAAAAACACGGTCAAGGGCAGCGCAATGATGAAGGCGAGCTGCAGAATCGCCAAAACCAGGTGCATGAACACGCAAAAGATGTTCTGGAATGTGGGATAGAGCTCATCCAGCTCCCCCGAGCCGTACGTGAACGGGGGCCAGAGCACCCAGGGCAGCGCCCACGAGTACACGAAGAAGTAGTATATGTCCCATCCCAGCAGCTTCCAGGGCATGTCCGTGTAGGAGTAGGAGATAATGTCCGCTCCGCCAATTTGGCAGCGGTACAGCGAGGTGAAGGGGTCCATGGCGGCGTTGGCCATCTCCTAGACGACGTGAACGTTGTTGGCGCGACGAGGACGTGCAGTAACGACGAGCGGCAAGAGTACGGAGAGCATGGGAGTATACGTCAGTCAATGTGCGTCCGTGAAATTCACCAGCCACTGCGAGAAGTCAAATGATGACCTCCTTGGGCCATGCTATGGTGAACGCAGAGAATGGCCTTGTTGGTGATGTTGGTGGTGGTGGTGGCGCTGATGATAAACGTCATCTGACTACTGACACATCGGGTCAGACGTTTTGAGCCGTCAGCAGGCCAGAGGGAAGGCGCCAGGACCAATACTGGGAAGGTTAGCCCCTGAGGACTTGGAGTTTGTATGTATTTTGTAGCGTTTTCCATGGCGTTGCACGCAAGCTGAGTGAGGCATGTATCAAATTGGATTTACTGGAGAGATGTTTATACAGATACCTCGAGTTCAACTTAAATTCTGTGATGGTCGACAGCCGCTTTGACTCCAATATGTGACTACCCTAGACCTAGTCTTGCAAGCTCCAATGCTCCTGTTGATGCGTAGTCTTCAAGTAGAATCTTCAGGTATGGGCCATGACTGAAGTCAGTACTCAGTAACATAGTTTTGTTGGTTTTTCGACTACGATGCCCTGGTTGGCAGTTGCTCCACGTCTCGCGGCTTACTATGGTGAATTTGTTCGTGCTGACGTTGTTTCGTGTGACACCAATTCAGCCTAATACAAACGACGAATTGGGATAAACGTGTACGACCGACAACAAAGGGGTAATAGATCGTGCTGTTATAAACAATTTGAGCCTTGCGAATAAATCTTCAGCAAATTGAAGACATCCCAAGATAGAACAATGGCTCGTTCGTCGTGCCCCATGGCCATCCTCTCGTAAAAGCTTGCCCTATTGCAGGCCGGTGACCGCTGTTATCGTGGGGCCCCAGACGACGCTGCTGCTCTGCACCTCATGTCTAGTCTGCGCACATTATTGTCGTAGATGTAGCAGTCAGCTGTAGGAGATGTGCAGTCATACTATATTCGTAGTGTTACGAATGTCCGCTGCGAACCTCATGTCCTCTGGGAACATCATCAGGGCCTTGAAAACAATCCTTGCTGCTCGAGTAGCGGGCTTGCCGAGCCATAAGAAACACGAGAGCACATGTGATTGACTTGTCTGAGAAAGACGTGAAATGCACACACGAGACCTGGGCACGCCGATACCGGACGGTTGTTGCGAGGTGCGAGCAAATGATCTCTTCTGCGTCTGGCGATGGAAGGTCCTAATTAGTGTTCATGGTGGTCATTCCTCTGTCTAATCAGGTCGATTTTTTTGGCATCTCGCGAGTCCAGGAAGCTCGCTCGTGCAATAGAAACCAAAGACACGTCTCGCTGCCATACCGATCCGGCTTCGTGAGACGTGTTGTCGGCCTCGTCGATAAACCCAACACTGATTTCTCGTGGCTCTATCAATGTTGAAAGGACAGAGTTTGGCGTCCGCAGGCCGCTGCGATCGAAGTTTGCCGGCCCGAAGACGTGGCCTGACTTGACAGACCATCTCAGCCTCGGGTTGCACTGACTGCACTGGACGGGCTCATTCCAACAAAAAGGCGGTGGAAATGACGCGCGCACCGCGCCAAGCGACGCTGGCCTCTTGTTGGGAGCCAAGGGCCCTCCCTCTGGCGGCATTCAGGACACGGAACGCCGATGGTTTGATGTGCATTGAACCTGCGGAATAAAAAAAAAAAGACTGGAGACCCTGTGAGCAGCCAAGAAGCAGATCAACGCAGGACTGCAACTAGGCATTATCTCGACGCCTTGGCCCTTGAGCATGAACCTGACACTGCAGATACACCGCAGAAGCCCCCTGAGATAGCGAGATAGCCGCTTGAGCGCTGGCCACGGCTGGGAGCAAGGAATGTAATACGAGCTGAGACGGGCTTCGCTCGCAAGTGTCCACCTCTTGATTCCATCTTCGATGAGGCTTACTCGGTTCTACTCGGGTCAACTAGACCAGTCTGTAGAGATGCTCCAAAGGGCCGACACCAGAGCCAATGGGCATTCCACCAGGTTATCGAGCCTCCCTATAGCTTCATAGCCCGCCCTCGAAGCTATCGGAGCGTCGAACCGCCGCTGGACTTTATTTTGACGGATGTGGCTTCCCATCCCGAGAGTTGACGTCAGTATGGATCCCCCGTCCCCTATCGCGCACCAGTCTCTGTCGTCCTATCGATAGCCTTTTCACTTCACTGCGTGAAGGGATCCGTGGTGGTGAGTGGTTGGCAGCGGGGCGGAAGCGCTGCCAAGTGGAGTGCAGAGATTGGGAGCAGATAAGTTTTTGAGGCGGGATCGACGCGTCGTTGCCAGGGCCCAGGGGTGGAGCGCCTCTTGCCGAGGGAAGCGACGGACGCCGCCAGGCAGGTGCCGGTGCCTGAATGGCGGCACATTAGTTGCAGGGAAGTCGTTCGCACTGTAATGCTCTGCGAGGCCAGGTGCTTAAACACAGTAGCACAGTGTCATGTAGGGTCTTATCGCGAACGACATCCCGAGGCGCCAACATGCATGCATCTCGACACTCACAGAGATCGTCGTGCACCCAGGAAAATTCATCCTCTTGAGCCTCGTTTTCAGCGTTCACACTGTGACGCTCTCCTGGATATCCAGCAGTCAAACAAATGACGTCGTGTCCGTCCGACTCCACTAGCATCCACTATGGCTGGAGGAGCGAAAATCTCGAGATGCTGTAGGTGATATGCGTACTCCGTACTGGCAACTGCACAGCACCACGGCCTGCATCCTCGACCCTCACTGGCCACACGCATGTCTCCAATGCGCACGCGAAGCAACATAACGTGTCATGTTCTTCTCGGGCGCTACGACGAAATTTCTGTAAACGTACATGGCTTCCAGCCATCCTTCGAGAATTGCAGCGCTGGAATGCAGCTGACTGGACGCACGTCAAAGAGCGGGTCCCGCTAGTCAGGGCCTTACCAGTCGGTGTCCTGCTTCCGATCCACCCGTCGAAGCCCACCCGTTCGTCATCTCGCTGCTGTGGTGATTCACTTGTAGGCGGCTCTGTGTGCATAATCAGACTATTCACGGCCAGAATAGGCTTGGCTGCTTGGGCCCGTTTTGAGCCTCGTGGACGAAGCGGGAGAGCAAGTGGGCGGCAGCGACCACACCAGCACGTCAGCGGCCTCAGTTACCGTGCCATGGCCCATGGACAGCAAGGGCGAGTAGAGAGGTTATCAACATCTCTTGATGGAGGGAGAGACATGCAGCTGCACAGTCTGTACTGTAACTTTGGCGAAGCCTTTGCCTATTTTTCCTCTCCCGAGTTGGAAGCCATGCAGGCAGACAGGGATTTCCAAGGTCGGGACGACGTATCATTGACTGCCCAGACATCTGGCCCTACGGGCATTGGGCCAAGAAGAAGTGACGACGAGAACGAAACACTGGATCTCCCGATAAAATCACGCAAGTTGTTATCGTGGGCCTCCACTATTCCTAGGCGCAGCGCGCTGGCTTGGCTGTCAGGACTCGGGCTGCGCGCGAGGCTGCTGGATCCAGTCTCCACAACGGCGTCGAGGATAAGCATCCAGAAGCTGATGGTGTTGAGACGCCAGTATCGGGTGGTCCTTGATTTCGGCGGCAATCACGGCGACAAAGTCAAACATACGTATCGGGGAAGAAAGAATTTGAGTTCGATGGGATCTATATAACATGGCTTCATGCCCACTCTGGTCGAGAAGAGTCTTATTCCTCCCCATCTTATCTACACACAACAACTTACAAGCCATCACCACACACAACATCTTCATCACCTTCACCTCCACACTCCTGCACATTCACCATGGCTCCCTCCGCTATCACCCCCGAGACCTCGCCTGAGCGCACCGTCTTTGTCAAGAAGGTCCTCGACCAGGACACGCGCTCGCGCGCCTCGTCCGTCTCGTCCGTCAAGCTCAACGACGGCAACTTCATCCCCCAGGTCGCCCTGGGTGTGTACAAGGCCCCCAACGGCCAGGAGACTGAAGATGCCGTCACTGCGGCTCTCGACGCCGGCTACCGTCACATTGACTCTGCCGCCCGCTACGCCAACGAGGAGGCCTGCGGTCGTGCCATCCGCGCATGGATGGAGCGCACCAACACCCCCCGCGAGGAGATCTATGTCTGCTCCAAGCTCTGGGATGCCGACCACGGCTACGAGGCCACATTCAAGGCCCTCTGCGACTCCCTCGCCAAGTTTGGCCTCGAGTACCTCGACCTCTACCTGATCCACTCCCCCGCCGACAACGAGGAGAAGCGCCTCGCCTCGTGGCGCGCCCTGGAGGACGCAAAGCGTCTGGGCAAGGTTCGCTCCATCGGTGTCTCCAACTTTGGCGCCGCCCACATCCAGAACCTCCTGGACAACGCAACTGTTGTCCCCGCGGTCAACCAGGTCGAGGTCCACCCCTTCTGCCAGCGCCAGGAGCTCGTCGACCTCTGCGCTAAGAACGGTATCAAGATCGAGGCCTACTCTCCCCTCGCCCGCGGCAACAAGCTCGAGGACCCTACCATTGGCAAGATTGCGGAGAAGTACGGCAAGACTCCCGCCCAGATCCTTCTGAACTGGAACGCGTCCCGCGGCAACGTCGTCCTGCCCAAGAGCTTGACCGCTTCGCGCATCCAGAGCAACCTGGACTCGTTCGACTTCACCCTCGACGCGGAGGATATTGAGACCATTAACAACCTCGGCGCTGAGAACTATGTCACCGGCTCCATGCACAAGTCCGCCGACTGAACGGTTTTCCCGTTATGATATTCACGACTCTTCTTTGTTTATAACGACATGGAAGGAAGATACCTGCGCGCGGTCTGCACACATGATAAATATCCGACGAGTCGCAAAAGCGATAGAACGTCGCCATGGCGCCGACCACTAGGTCGTCTTACACGGATTGAGCGTTGCTCTCCGGATAGAAATAGCATAGCGTTTGCCAATAGACTTTTGATTGTTTACTATGATTTTTTACCATGTCATACTTGACTGCACTGTGACTGTCGAAAGTACTTCCATCGATACACGAGTCAACTGTCCTTTGTGTCGTTGAAACTTGACTTACACCGTGTATGACGCTGCTTGAAAAAAAAAGTCTGCCCCCAAGCCGATCATGAACGGCCCGACACGGGCCAAGGACAACCATCGGGCTCCGGTTTTCTCATACTCCTCCTACTCCACTCAACCGGCCTCGCGCTTGGCGTGCGTGTCCTTCGACGCGGTACAAGCGTTTGCATGGAAAAGCCTCGGATCCAGTCCAAGCGGCATTAATTAACAACTCCCGAGGCGTGTTTCAGGGGACCTTTTGCTAGTGTTGGAGAACATTGCGAGATCTCGATGAAGTGCTCACTCGCACATGCATGTGAACAAGCACTCTCTTGAGGCGGAAGCGGCCAGCATATGCGTTGCGGATGCATGCAGTTGAGCGGCCCAACTCTCGGCAGAGGATTGAACTTACGGCACCCGACCGCTGCCGTCCATAACGGTAGCCACGGCGAATTGAAGCCGATGCTCGCTTGATGACTGGATAGCGTGGCTGGAGCAAGCATCGCATCCTCGGAATTACGCGAGGTTGCCAATATTCGTGATTCCATCTTTCACTAATGGGGTGAGAAGTACCTAGAGGCGTGGGCGGCGTCATCATGTGTACAATGCCATTGATTTGCAGCGATGTGATGTTTGCGTGCGTGTAAAAGGCGACGAGTATCCAAGGACCTTGTTGGTTCATTGCCATGATGTATAGGGTAGGCAAATACACAGTAAAATCTTGGACCGACGCACAACCATCAGCCTCAACCTACAACATATTACCGACCAAGACACAGATCACCACAATGGGCTCCGACCGCGACCGCGAAGAGCGCAAACGGCGCCACCGCGACGACGATACAGAAAGAGACCACAGAAAGTCTCTCAGACGGGACACAGACCGCGACAGACCCTCTCACCGCGACCGCGATCGTCGACGCTCGCGCACACCAGAATCCTCCTCCTCCCGTCGCGACCGTGGCAGCGACAGGCACAGGCACAGGCATAGACACCGTGAGGATCGCAGCCCCCGTCGCAGCCGAGGCGACGAGCCAAAGCGCATCGAACCCCTCAAGCGCTCCGGTCCCCTGCCGTCCCAAGAGGACTCATTCGCCGTCACCAACGGCGACGAACCCGAGAAACCCAAGGAGAAACCCAACTTCAAATCCTCCGGCCTCCTCGCTGCCGCATCCAACTCCATCCAGCAGGCGGACGGCACGAACATTGCCCTAAAGTACCACGAGCCGGCCGAGGCCAGGAAGCCCCCGCCCAAGGACCAGTGGAAGCTGTTCATCTTCAAGGGCGGCGACGTCGTGGACACGGCCGACCTAGCGCTGCGCAGCTGCTGGCTCATCGGCCGCGACGCCGCCGTTGTCGATTTGCAGGCTGACCACCCCAGTCTGAGCAAGCAGCATGCCGTTATCCAGTTCCGGTACACGGAAAAGCGCAACGAGTTTGGCGACAAGGTCGGTAGGGTGAAGCCCTATATCATTGACCTCGAGAGCGCCAATGGGACCATGGTCAACGGCGAGAAGATTCCCGAGGGTCGGTACCTGGAGCTGCGCAACAAGGATGTCGTCATGTTTGGGCACAGCACGCGCGAGTACGTGTTGATGCTGCCGCCGAAATGAGGCGCTGATGTACAGCTATTGTCAGCATCCTTCCAAGTCATGCCTGCTGGATGATTTATTAAGGCACATGGTCGCAGCAAAAACAAACGCTCCTTGTCCCGAGCAACGTGAGTCCGCAAGATAATATGGCTAGTACAAGGACTAATTGATCTATCAATTTCTAGCCCTCAACTCGTCTAGGCCGTAACACGTAACTCATCATAACGAGAACAAAGCCCCTCACCCCTCCAGCCCCTGTTCTCTGTAAATCAACAAGCTAGCTCGCTTCGTCTCCGCCACAGGCACCTGCTCCCCAACCTTGCGGTGCCCATCGACGAGCATCAGGCGCCCCTCCTGGCTCAGCGCCACTCTCCTCGACACATCCCGCACATACGCATCCAGAAATACCTTTTCGCTTCCCGGGCTGGAGCCCCCCACCTGTCCGTCCTCGACGTATTCCTTGATCAAGTTGCGATCCTCCAGCGTCCAAAAGTCTCGAAAGTCCTGTGGGTCGTCGTCACGCAGGTCGATGGCCGCCTCAAACTCCCGCAGGCCCGCCATGCCGTTCAGCACCGGAGAGAGGAAGCGAATGAAAGAGTTGAGCTTCTCTGCCTCGCTGTGCAGCGCGGACGGGGAGGACGAGGATGGGCATGGGTCGGCTGAGAGTGTGTGTAGAAGTGTGGAAAGGCGAGACTGCTTGAGGGGGGAGGGCACGGTGACAGCGTGTGTGAGGGCGAGCAGATCGACGAGGGGGGTGAGCGTGGAGAGTTCGGCGAGAGGGCTGGAGAGCCTGATGATGATTTGGGTCGTCTCAACGGTGGAGTTGAGTGCGGAGGGCGACATGACGGTGATGGTTGAGCTGGTGAGCGATGAGGAATACAAGATGGAAATGCGGCTCAACTTCATATTGTGTCTCCTACCCTGGCCTCTGACAGCATGCTCGCCCCCACGATCGCGGTCAGCGTAGCCTCGTGGTCACGGGGGATCTGCGTCAGCCCAGGCGCAATGCCAGTGATCGTGTCGGTGGGGTAGGCACAATGACCTCATGCCGCCGCGTGTCTCGACCTTAGCTGCTTCAATGTCTTCTCTTATCAGTAGACCAGTACTGATAATTATATATATATACATAGATATATATATCGGCCCCAATAGATAAGGCCCTGAAGAACCCACGCTCGTCAGGTCTGCGGCCTGTTAGTCAATGGTCTCGTCACGGCAAAGAAGGCACAAACCCTTGGCTCATCGATCTCATTGCGATCACTGTGCCTGCATAATCCTTGTCACGGCCTCGTCGACGCCCCTGACAACCAGGGTCGGCTCCTTGCCCAGACCATGCGACAATCCGTCCCTCCAACCTTGCCCCGTCCTGTCAACCCAGCACGCTCTCATCCCATTCGACACGGCACCTAGCACGTCAAACGGGTTTGAACTGACGAGCCACGCTCGCTCGGGCGTGTGCTGCATTCCCGTGACCGTTGCGACGTACTCGTAGACCTTGGGAGCAGGCTTGAAGGTCTTGAGCGCGTCAATGTCGACCGAGATGACCTTCTCGGGCGGGAAGATGGACCACGAGGACAAGGCCGATGTGAGCATCTGCTGGGTGCCATTCGAGAAGATATACGCATCAATTTCAGGATGCGAAGACAGCGACGAAAGAGCAGAGTCCACTTCTGGGTAGGCGCTGAGATGGTTGTACGCGTCCATGATGGCTTCTTCGTGCTCTGAGCTCAATTCTTTTCCAATGATCTGGTGGACGGCCTGACGGAATGAAAATCGCGTCAACTGGTCAAAAGGCTTGTAAGTGCCTGAGAATTGTAAGTACTCATCCCATCCCAGACAAAGCCCACCGCCATATCCTACCCATGCTGACGCAGCGCCATGTGTATTCCAGCTGCAGCCGCCTGGCCTCGGTAGCGATACGAGTAGCATCGTCTTTTCCATATATCTCTCCCAGTTTCTGAGCAATCGAGTCGGTCGACAGAATCGTACCGAAGAGGTCGAACGCGATGACGGTCTGAGGCATATTGCGCTTGAGGGGTCCACAGATGAGGCTGAAGGTGATGCAGCGTGCGCCGATGAGTCAAGCGGCGAGGTCTAGAAAATCGTAAAGACAAATATCGCGCCTCTGAAGTACCCTCCGTATGAAATAGGATAAATCGACAGAAGAAAGTGGACAGTGGCTCGAGGGAATGAGATGGCCATGATGTAACCCCGCCCTACTGCCGCCAACGTCATCCATCTTGCATCACGACTAGCTTCACTTGCCTCGCCAGCCGACATCGCACCTGTATCCCTCCAAAAATGTCATCGTCGGGCGATACAGACGCATCATATGAGGAGGAAGACGAGGGAAACAGCAACTATGCTCATTTCCGTGACTGCCTCTCCACGACACTTCTCCGTCCTCCACCCACCACGCAGCACCAGCAGCCCACCAAGTCACGTAGACGTGGCAAGGCCACTAACAAACCGAACTCTTCAAGCACCCTCACCACTGGTAATCGCGTAGAAGATGCGGTGGAACTAGCCGAGTTCACCGACTACCTCGCCACCGAGATCTTTGAGAATCTCCCTCGGGAGCTGCAAGACATAGACTACCGCTCATGGCGCGACAGCCAGCGGCTGCAGAGTCAATACTCCTTACCCCTGACTACATCCTCCCTCGCCGAGCTCAACCTCCCAACCCACGTCACCGAGACGCTGGAGACGTACAATCTCATAGCGTCACCAGACGACAGCGGCCAATCCACCCTGCTGCCCTCCTCCACGGAGAGTTTCCTCCTGCCCATCATCACCGCCTACCTAGAGCCCCTGATCACGCCGCCGCCCGCGACGACCGCAACACGCACCGAAGCCTGCGAGATCTGCGGCCGCTGGTGGATCAACCTGTCCTACCACCACCTCATCCCGCGCTTCGTCCATGACAAGGTCGTCAAGCGCGGCTGGCACCGCAAGGAGGACCTGCAGAACGTCGCCTGGCTCTGCGGCGCCTGCCATCGCTTCGTGCACCAGTTCCGCGGCCACGAGGACCTTGCGAGGGACTATTACACTGTTGACCTGCTCCTCGAGGACGAGGAGGTGCAAAAGTGGGCGAAATGGGTGGGCAAGATGCGCTGGAAAGGGGGCGGGGGGAGAAGACGCGTGTTGAAGTAAACAAATCAAATACAGGCATGTAAATTTCTCGATAACACAGATCGCCGTCTACTATTCTCTAAGAATCTATGCGCAATCCAAAACCAAAGATCAATGCAGCTCAAACTTGTGCTCTTCCAGCTCCATGTTGAGGGCCTCGCCCTCCATCAAGCCGTGCACGTAGCAGTCGCCCACCAACCGGTACGTATCGCCCTCCTCATCGCGCCGCAGGACAAACGGCGTCTGCCCACCATACAGCACGACAACCCTGTCGCCCACCTTGGCTCCACGGGGCACCGTGCCGATGAAGCCCCGGCTCGTGCGCGCCATCCGCGTCCCGTTGCAGGCCATGTGCACCAGGTCGTTGAACAGCGGCTCCGGACGTTGACGCGACTCGTCCGACTGCCCGTGCGCGAGGGCCTCGAGCATGTGACTGACACTGCCACTCATGGCCTTGAACCACGGCTCGAAGCAGGCGGGACCCATTTCGGACGAGGCTTCGCGGCCGATTTCGTCTTGGTTCTTGACCAGGGTGCGCCAAAAGGCCTCGACGACGGAGACGTCCCCGACGGGGTACATCTTGTCGTGCGGCAGGCTGGTGAGGGGGTCCATGCCATTGTCCGCATCTCGCACGGCGTCCGCGTCAATGTCGAGCTTCTGCAGTCTCTCGATGAGACCGGGCGCAAAGGTGCTGCGGAGATAGGACCGCGACGACGACTCGGGCGTGGGCCGTCTCTCCTTGGAGCCGGAGCGGAGTGAGGTGCGTCGAGACGCCCACATGGCGTTGGACTCTGGGTTCTTGCCGCCGTGCAGCTTGTGGTCCTTCATGGTGGCGTGCAGCACCTCCCTCGCCCTCTTGAGCTCGGGCGTGGTGTAGAATTTGTGGCCCGGCTCCGTCATGAGGGCGGTGTTGACCCAGTCTGCGAGGAAGTTGTGCGAGCCCAGCGTGGGGCCCTTCATCTCCGCGCCGAGGGCCACAATCTCGTCGGCCTCGATGCCCTTGAGGACGATGTGCACGTCGTCCGAGAACCAGGGGATGCCCTCGCGGGTGGTGCCCGGGTGGTGGAGGATGGTCAGCTGCGGCGCGGTGTCGGCGGCGGCGTGGTAGTGCCACGAGCGACGGCCGTTTTTGCACCCGAGCATGCGCATATTGTCCCGTCGCGACAGGTCGGGCACAAAGGACGGCCAGCCCGTGGCCGCGGCGGCGTCGAGGTCGTCGTTGTGCGCGAGGTGGAGGACGTCGAGCGTGCGGTGGGAGAGGATGCAGTTGAGGGCGACGTTGAGATACATGTCAAGCTTGGGCAGGCTGTAGTCGAAAAAGGCCTCGACAATGTCCCGCTCGCGCGAGTTGCCGAGGTGCGGGTACAGGGCGAAGATGCGGTCCAGCGGGTGCGCGGCGGTGAAGTGGCGCGACTCGGTCAGCAGGCTGAGCAGGGTAAAAGTCGTCCCGTTGAGGGCACCGTCGCGGTGCTCGTCCAGGTGGAGGATGTGGTAGTGCTTGAGGTCGTCCCGGGACACGCCGGGCGCGAGGCAGTCGTCGCTGATGGACGTCTCCCAGCGCAGCTGATACATGCACCATGCCGCGTCGGCAAAGTAGCCCCATGTCCGTAGTCCGCCGCCGTACATGATGCACACCTTTCTCGACACGCCGACCTCCTGCCAGTTCCAGATCCGCTCGAACCAGTGGTGCGAGAAGAGCCGCGTGATCTCGAGACGGTTCTCGGGGGGGATCTCGAGGTTGATGTCTTCAATGCAGAGATGGTTCAGCGACGAGAGATCAAGCTCATCCTGCTCGAGCCTGTCCCGGAACTCGTCGTACTTGCATGCTTCATGTAGCTTGTCAATCGTCTCAAACGCCTTGCGCCGTTGGTCCTCGGTACCGCCCAGATGAGCCAGTGTGGCGTGCGCGCTGGAAAAAATGTCCCTGACCAGATGCAAGTGTCTCTCCCTATCGCGCACGTCCTCTTGGTCGATACACACCGCCTCCGCCCACACGATGCTAAAGGCGTCCGGCTGGGCCGCGTTTCGCACGCCAAGCAGGGCCTGGTACATGCTCTCCGTGACGGACAGCCCACGTCCATTGCAGTGCATCCATCTGATGCGTCCCTTCTCGGGGCACGTGTGGGACAGCGCCTGGAAGGGGACCTCTTCAAGGTCGGCGTGGAACATGATCGTCTCCAGCATGTCCTTGTAGTGCGCCGCCGGGAAGATGAGCAGCAGACGGATCCTCTTGGGCTCGCGCACGGTTCCATAGTCGAACTTGACCGTGTCCTCAATGTTGCTGCTGGGGTTCCCCTCGAAAGAGTCCCCTATCGCGACGCTCAGATTGTCGTTGAGCCGGAGCATGGGGTACTTGTCATTGCCGGGCGACTGGTCCGCCAGGGTGCGGGAAAAGTCTTCGAGCCGCTCCGAGTAGACGCTGTTGGCGAGGGTCGTCACGGACCCCGAGGTGAGGGCGCCCGTGGCCCGCACCGACGACAGGTCAGATGTGGTGGTGCCGGTGCCATTACGTTTCGAGGATTTCGAGGATGCGTCTTTGCTGTCGCGGTTCGGCGCCAATTTGTCGAGCGTGCGCTTGACAAAGCTCAGTCCACGAGGCTGACGCATAGTGGCGGTTCTAGGGGCGAGATGTCGCCGACGTCGCCATGCGAGAGGGAAGTATTCATGCCCTGGCGTTTTCTGCAGAGCGAGGCAAAGATAATATTGTGCAGGAACTGGACACCAGACTCGAGAGGTAAATAACGGCGCAAGAGGGGACGGACGAGCCGCTGATGGGGCAGAGCCGCACACCCGTACCAGACGTCAGAGCGACAGTGGTGAGTGGCTGCCCCGAAGAGAAGAGGGTCACGGGCGTTGGGCAGAAGACCGTCAAAGGTCCGTCATCAGGGCCCAGGCTGGGTAAATACAGTGGGATGGATGAGGGCAGGGTTGTCACTTTGGTCGCTGTGGTCGCTGTGGTCGCTGCTGATTAGCTGGCGGGAAAGTGTCCTCGTGGGGAAGTGGCTTGGCAGCGAGTGCTGAGCGTGGGGACGTCTTGAACTTGGACTTTGATTTTATTTCTTATTATTCTTGAGGATTCACAGTCTCTGCGCATGGCAGGCAGCCTTGCTCGTGGAGAGGTTGACTTCTTTCACCAGCTGTCAAGACCTGCGCGAGCGTCATGAGAGTTTTCCAGCCAACCTTAATTTAAGCTTCTTTTCGAGCCTAAACCAGAGCTTCCTTCAACCTTCAATCGCTGCCGCCAGTGCAGCGCAAATACCGCATTGATCACCCGAATGATGTTCCCGGTGACACGCATCGCCCAGCCCATTCCTGAGAAATACATACCCAAGATGCCATTGCCTGATAAGCTGTAATTGCAGCTTGTCACCCACGCCGATCTATCTTCGAAGCTGGTCTATCGAATCGAGTGACGCGTCTGACGTGCCGTCAAGTCAGTGTGTCCTAATTACATCGGTGTCTCACGTCGGAGAGCCACGTCTCGGCCGACTTCAGGCAGCGACGCTGCTCAACTGCTGAAATAAGACAAAAAATATTTCAACCATACGCTAACAAGATACATCGCAGAATCTATTGCTCCCTTTTCCATCGTGGCTCGGCAATGTCAACCTCTTGCATCACCCGATGCGGCTGCTCACCATCCTCGCTCCCGCGACGATCATCTCCCAGTAACGCCTCGCGATCCTGCTTGTCCTCGTCGCACTTGACCCCCACGTGCTCCTCTGCCTCCTCCGGCACAGAGACCAGTATATGCTCGTCCAACCAGCTACTCGCTCGAGGTCGCGTGAGCTGCCGGCCGTCCTCCGCCTCCTGCAGTGGCGAGATGCCGCGCTCAATATCCTCACTGTTCCCCAGCGACTCGCGTCTCCTGCCCTTGACAAAGTCGTCAAACCGCGTGTCACGCTCGTGGCTGTAGAGCGACGGCGTCCGCGACATGGGCTCGAGAGCGACGCCGTCCGTCTGGGGCTCCGGTTGCAGCTGGCGCATGGACCCGAGACTGAGACGTGATGACACGGACGATATCCGCTTCTCCAGCGTCGGTCGCGGCCCGCTGTACGACGAGTCGCGACCCAGACCGTCGTTGAACCCATAGCCTTTGATATCGATCCTGTGCGCCGCGTCTCTCGACGAGAGCCTCCGGTACGTGACCAGGGCGTATATCGCCAACGCACTCGTCGTGAGCATAAACGCCGCGTCCAGGGCCAAGCCGACGATGGAGAAGTTCTCGTCAATCGCCTTGATGTGGACGACAATGTCGAGCGCGAGGAGGCACGCCGCGCAGGTGAGCTTGATGGTGTGCGTAAAGAGCACCGTCCAGGGCGTGAGGGATTCGGCGAGGTAGCGTGCGATCTCGACCATGGTGCAGATGCTGGCCAGGAAGGAGAGGCCGACGTTGGTGGATTCCCAGATGACCTCAAGTTGGGGCGCCTTGCGGTTCTCGTAGGAATGGAGCGTGTCGCCTATCCGGTAGGCGAAGAGGCCGGCCATGGTGAATGTGAGCGCCAGCTGGAGGCACCAGAGCGGTCCGAGGAGGCGGAGGCGCCAGTGCGATTGCTCAAACTGAGCCTGCGAGCGTAGGCTACCCATTCTAGGAGGCGGTGTGAGGGTATTCGTGGTTGTCGTCGGTGCGAAAGGTCGTCAGTCGTCACGTCGTAACATGATTTGGAAAGCAGCAGCGTTAGCAGATCCAGCTGATGTCTTTCAGCTAACCGCACATCCAGCCGCCCGTCTCTTATAGCATCGGGCTCAGCTGCCTCAGCGCCTTGCGGTAGCCGGTTCAGCTGTCGAGATGCCTAGTCAGCCGCATGCACATGTGGATGGCGCATGTCAGCCCACAGAATGGGGCAAGGCCGCCAGAGTCCCATCCAAAGGACCATGTCAGTCAGCACCGCCCCGAAAAAGCGCGATTACTATGTCGGACACATTCCTGCTGTGACCTGCCCAGGCTGTGGGGATTTCAAGAACAGGGATAGGGTACGTAGAATTGGACTCTTGGAGACCTTGACTGGAACCTTGACTGGAATTCCCAGTTCGTGCAGCGATCAGTTCATGTTTCTTGACGGAAACTCCTGGCATACACCAGTTTTGCCGTTGGAACCGAGCACATGGTTAGCTTTATTGCAAATGCTTCAATGACGACCTTGTTTCGCCTCTTGATCAGTCCATTACAAGAGTCAACGCCAGCACAACGCTTACTCTTCCATCTCCGGAAATGAGGTGCACCTGGCGAGATCCAGGGTCTGAGCCCGAGACCAGGGGCCCGCTCTCAAGGCGGACATTTCTCGCCTGTCAGCCCAGGTCCCAGGGTGCAGATTCACACGTTCCAGCGCAATCCTTGGGTCCACACCAGTCTGGCGGCCAATAGAGATTTTACGCTGTGGCTGTGCCATGAGGATATTGAACCTACTACCTACCCATCGCGTCGACCAAGGGGCTGCCATTCGTGCTGGACCCTGGTCGCCAATGAGGGGAAAGGATATGCTCCTTGGAGAGAGATGGAGATCCAAGACGAGAATAGCAACCAGCACTGTGGGGTGTGGTCATGCAGTTGCTGCTGCAAGCGATAGCATCCGGAATCCAACGTATACTTCTGGCGCGCTGAAGCTCAAGAGTCCCTTAGAGCTGAATTGCGTATTTAACATACTCAGGCAGCAATGTAATATAATGCCTGACGAATTGGGGGAGAAAATGCCGTGACAGGCGCAGAGCATGGCACGGCTAGCTCAGCCCTACGGCAAACGCACGCCTGGGGAATGACGATGTGATGGGGGTTGGAGCACAAGGCTCTGTTGTGCTAACGATGTACAAGAATCTGCTTGATTTCAGTGAGCAACATGTCTGTTAGGTAGGGAATCTGGCTGAAAGTTGTTCCATTTCGCTACATATAGCGCCAAGGGGACGTCTGATCTGATGAATGTATTCCATGGTCCCATAGTACCTTGTCATCCACAAAGTTAGAAATAGCCATTCTCTTCACCCTGGATATTCTGTGCCCCAGCTCCCAAGCGTCAAAAGATCCTGAGACCAAGCCCAGCCTGGCCCAGCGATCCGTCAAGGGCACTCAAACACGACCACCCCCAACGCTTAGTACTTGCGATGTCCATGGGCCTGGTGCCTCCTCGTCCTCTCCTTCTTGGCCTGCCTCTTCCTAATGCTCTCCTCGTTCCTCTTACGCTGCGCCATCTCCTCACGCTTGGCCTTGGCCTTGCGGGCCCCCTCGCGCGAGTACGGGACCACGTTGCCATTGGCGTCGGTCATGGCGGGCTGGTCGAGGGGCGGGCGCACATTCTGACGCTTGGCCGGGGCGATGACGTTGGCCCAAACCTGGCCATCTGTCTCTGCGGGATCGACAACGTCCCTCTTGGCGTTTGTGTTGGTGGCTAGTACGTCATCCTCGTTAGTGTTGATGTCCGTGACAAAGAGCGCGAAGCGTGCATACTTTGGTGGCTGCCAGCAGCGAGTGTGAAGCCAACGAGGGCAAAGACGGAGAAAAGGGACAGCTTCATAGTGAGGGATAGTGGTTGTCAAGACAGTGCAGTCAATGAAGGAAAGGCAAGAAGGAAACGTCGCCGGCGACTTGGACGAGAGAATGGAGACAAGAAGGTAGGTTGCTGGTGGTGAATTAGCTAGTGGCTGGATGGAAGAGGAGTGGCCACTCTCTTATAAGCGGCGCTCAGATGGCTACAAAGGCCCAAGGAGGCCTCGCTTGAGACGCATCTAAGTACCATGCCGCAGAACCTCTCATGGGGTGCAGAACCGCGATGAAACTGGCCCAGGCCGTCGCAGTGGTGTATCAAGATGCATCCTGCGACAGCTTCACCTTCAGCTTTAGAAACAAAACTCGCACAACTGGGCATGCATGCTTGCACAGGGTTTGTGCACGGCGGGGCCGAGTTGTGCATCCCCAAATCAGTGCCAGGCGTCATCGGTGTAGGCCACTGCGCTACTCCACGCGGGGCGGCACTGCTCACGCTGTCGCTCATCCGTGATCCGGCTTATCTTCCAAGTCCTCGAGACCTGTTAGACCCTCTCTTTTCCAGATCACCTCCATCGGAGCCTCGAACAGCGTTGCATCCTACCGCTCTCGTTCCCTCACAACGCCATGGCCACCCCCGCCCACTGCATCGCCTGTTTCGAGGCTCTCGACGCCCACCTCGCCAAACGCCCCGCGCTGTCCCTTGACGAGATTCAGTCCCTCTACGAGCAGTTCGTCGCCTCGACATCCTCCTCCCCGGCGCCCAACAAGAACCCCACCCTGTCACGTCTCGCCAACCCATCCCCCTCCTCGTCCTCGACATCCTCGACCACAGGCCTCTCAACCTCCACGCCTGACACATCCAACACATCGCTCTCCTCCATCGTAGCGAACAACATCCCCGACAAGGCACCGCTCTTTGTGACCTGGAACGTTGTGGAATCCGACGACGATGAAGAAGACGAGGAGGTGTCCCTGAGAGGGTGCATCGGCACATTCAGCGACGAGCTCCTCGAGGAGGGCATCCCCGAGTACGCACTCATCTCCGCCCTCCGTGACACCCGCTTCCGTCCCATCAAGGCCAGCGAGCTGCCGTCGCTGCAGGCCGCCGTCACACTCCTCACCGACTTTGAAAAGGTGGACGACCCGTACGACTGGGTCGTCGGCGTCCACGGCGTGCGGCTCAGCTTCCACGACAAGGGGCGCCGCTACGGATCGACGTACCTGCCCGACGTCGCTAGCGAGCAGGGCTGGACCCGCGAGGAGGCCCTCTACTCGCTCTCGCGCAAGGCCGGCTGGGTCGGCAGCCAGAGCAAGTGGAGGGACCTCGATCTCCAGGTGACGCGGTACCAGGGAAAGAAGTGTAGTGTGCGGTACGCAGAGTACAAGCGCTTCAAGGCGTGGGTGGACGCCAAGTAGCAGCACACGACGGGACGGGACGGCGTTCAGGGCAACGAGGGAACAGCGTTAATTCTTTGGTAGGTAGTAAGTAATGGCATGCGCTTCTCCCCCTTGCTTCTCCTGTCTTACCCATGACAAAGCAATGATGACTAGACATAGCGTGATATCTGACAAAAAAATGAACCCAATCCCAATCCAATCCAGCTCGAAACCCATAGCTGGAGCACCAGACGCCTCCCTTCTGCAAGGACCATACCCGTCTACGAATGCAAACAATGATGGAAACCCAATCCAACGGAACCCCCCCCCCCCCCCCCCCCTCCCAAAAAAAAATTTTGTACTCACCAGCACCGCAGCTTCTGCCAGAAGCCACTCCGCGGCCTGATCCGCCCCTCGTGTATATGCGGCCCCCGCACGCCGACGAGCCTCTTCTCATCAAACTCGCCCTCCCGCGTGGGGATCGGACTGAGCGGCTTGGTCATGCCCCTTGCGTTGAGCGCAATGTTGTCCATCATGCCCATGGCCGCCAGCCTCCTCGCCTCGACCACCCGTCGCACAATCAGGGCAAACGTCTCCTCAATGTTGACCTCGAGCCGCGCGCTCGTCTCCATAAAGCCGCACCCGCGCTTGCGCGCCCACTCGAGGCCGACGGCCGCGGGGACGCGCCGCCTGTCCTGCAGGTCGCACTTGTTGCCGGCCACGATCTTGACCGGCGGCACCGTCCGCGCCTTCTCGTTGATGGGGCTGTGCATCTCGTCGGCGTGCAGGCCAGCCTTGCGCGCGCGCTCGGCATTGTCCAGGCGCACCTCGGCCTCCATGTTGACCAGATCGTCAAAGTACCCGAGAGCGTCGAGGCTGTCCTTGGAGGTGATGTCGTAGACCATGAGGAAGGCGTCGGCGCCCAGGTTGGAGCTCGCCCACATGCCGCGGTACTCCTCCTGGCCGGCCGTGTCGGTGAGTGAGAGGTGGTAGGTCGTCCCGTCAATACGCCGGGTGAGGGAATACGAGTCCTCGATGGTGGGGTCGTATTCGGACGTCCATTGGGAGCGGACGAGGCGGAGGGTGATGGACGACTTGCCGCAGCCGCCGTCGCCGCAGATGGTGATGCTGATGGGAACGTTCATTGTCCTTTCGCGATGCGGAAGGGGAAGATGGCCACCAGGCAGCAGGGAGGTGGACGGGTGAGTGAACATGGGAAGAGATCTAATGGCAAAGGAGAGGGAGAGGAAGAATGGTCGGCAGCCACAAGACAATGTCCGTCCGTCCGTCCGGCTGGCCTGCCCGCCAGATCCCTGCCCGGCACAGCGATCGAATTGCTTCTTTTTTCCCGGGGCGTGCGTTACTTGCTCTGCAAAAGAGGAGACGAGACTGGACTCTCAAAGGAGGGCGTCGAGGTGAGAGTGAGACCCTGGGAAAGCTGCCTGGAAAGGCTCTTGACAGGAACCACTCGGGAGGCGTCCCTAGCTGCGCGGGTCCACCCACACGTCGCCCCTCTTTCAATGGACTCTTTTGTGGTGAAGCGACCCGAATTGTCGGGAATTGGCGTTGCTCTAATCGCCGGTAATTATGGAGTGATTGTCGATAGAGTGGACGTTGGGCAGCAGCGGCTTCGCTCTGGAGACGATGATCCAGTCCTTTTGTAAACTTGAGGTTGGAGGTGGCCCAGGCAGATAAACAGACAGGCGGCAGCGTCTCCTGCCGCTGCACGCCTCTGACCGGCAACCCACCCTTCCGCCACAAACAGAAAACAAGCGGGAGGCGCAAGAAGCAACCCGTGTGATTGATAAGTGCTCTGCATGGGCCAGACATGCAGCGAGGGCCGAGGGGCAGGGACTAATTAGGAAGAGCGACGCGGACCGCGGGATGTGACTGAGCTGCCTGGTGCTGGCCAGCCCTGGACTCGAAGATGGAGCTTCCGTCCAGTTGCTTCAGTGGCTTCCAGACAGTGCTTCACAGATTTCAGCGTGGCGGATTGGTGCCCAGCGGCAATGTCAGGTAGCTACGGGCCGCCATGTATTTAATTTAGCCAGTGGGTCCATTTCCGTCGCTACGAATTCAGTTAATAGTGCCCGCCCCGTTTGGGGCCGCTGCCGTGCACTGGTCGGTCGGCGATTCGCGAGGGCGGAAGCCGCAAAGTTCAACAAACCATTGTCTTTTGAAACAGCTAACAGCCCTTGCCACGGCAGTCACATTTTGCGCTACGGTACTATAGTATAGGTCTGGTGACCGGATTTGTTGCATGTCCTCGCTGAATGCTCAACGGTCAGCGTCATGTCGGCAGATTGCAGCTCGCAAGGAATGTCACTTGCGGGGGAACGCGCGTGCATCGCATGTAGCAATGCAGGTCTCCGTGACTCGTTTGTGCATTTCCATGTCCGATTGCAGTTCAGACGATCCTCGGCAAAGGAAACCCCGGTGTCAGAAACCTTTGTTGTTGAACGGTCCTCACATTGCCCCAGGTGTGTCATGTGCTCAGCCTCGAGGTCACGGTCATTTGAGCCGTGGGGGCACACCCTTTCGCGTGCCCGACCCCCCTGGATCACCCTGCGGATTGCATATCACCAAAAAGGAGTTGTTGTCAAGGGCTGGACCGCCAGGCTCCCAGCACGTACGTAGATAAACTATCGCACGCTCCAACGGAGATGCTGTTTGCACGTATGCAGATAAACTATCGCACGCCCCAACGGAGATGCTGCTTGCACGTACGTAGATAAACTTTCGTACGCCCCAACGGAGATGTTGTTTGCACGTCTGGTATTATCACGAGCGGAAACCCGGTCAGACGCAGATCCGGCTTGCTCTGCCTGAAAGTCAAACACCTTATGTGTCCGGCATTTACCCCCAAGAAACGGCCATGGTGATCACTTGGCATTGATTATGTGGACGGTGAGACTCCAGCCATGTTCGACTGCAACACATCATGTCATGGCGATAAGACACTGCGCAAGTTTGAACTTTGGTTTTGGGGGTCGCCAGAAAACTTGCTTCACCCACGAGTAGGTCCACGCCTTGCAGCGGAAATACTGTGCTGGTTGATAACATTATCCTAATCGCCCTTGCGTGAATACGTCAGTGTAAAACATCCAGTGAGTAAACCCCGCCGAGCATGTTCGCAACGAGAATGTGTGGTTTCATCGAGTGTGATCTTGACCCTCACACATTTCATGAACCGCCCTTCGATCTTAGCATGACTGAGATCCTACAAATCAGTTTATCGTCCAGATCGTCGCCATTGCCAAATTCGAACGGAACTGCATCAAGAAATGCTACTGGTACGAATAAACTGCACACGATTTCGCGCCTCGATTTAATCATCTGATAAATTAAGGTTAGGTATAGGGTATGAGGGGAGAGTGTCGTTGCGCTAATATCCTAAGGTACATCAGGCACAGTAGTCGGGTGAGTTTCCCCGTGCCATTCGAAAAACCACGCCGTCACATAATAACTCACATCTTAAGAAGTTCAGTCTATGTACTACCGCCCGCTGCCGCGATGCTTCAGAGCCAATGGCGGAAACCGTCGAGTAGAGTAGCCGGCCAGCCGTGATGCGCGAGTCGCAAGGCATCAGGCCAAATTCAATGGGGCGTAAACAGCGGTTGCGTACCGTCAGCCCAAATTCCAGCCGCTGCTTCTTGGTTGCAGTCGGTATCACGTTATTGAATAGCCATGGCCCATGGGATCGCGTCTAGAGTCTCTGGAGTCTGGTGGCTGTCCGCTACAGAAGCAAGACACTCACAACATGGCTGCTTCAGGGGCCATGAAAGCTCATCAGTCGAACGTCGAAAAGGAGCTAATCGAAATCGTTCCTTTAGCCACATGATCCCGCTGTAATTGGTCTTGATCTTTCACAGTTCATACATCCACCCAGGCAATCAGCCTTGCGGAACCTTGGTCGTGCAGAATACAGATGGACCCATCCAGTCAGCCCTAAAATTCATCCCCCCTGAGCTCCAAGGAGAATAATTATCAAGTCAGCCAGCGCCATCCACCAGCGGACAGCACTAAGCCTCGTCCCGTCCCCCTGCCGATCAGCGCGCCTAGCGGGTGATTAGCGCATTTCGTTCGTCTTCCGCTGCAAAAGCGTCAAGCAAAGACCAAAGTCCATGTCTGATTGATTACTTGCCAAGAGCGCGCCTGAAAAGATCCCCAAAAACGCTGCTCAAGCGCGCACCCGCGCCCGTCCCCGTGCGGTGTAGGAATCTTGAACTATGTACGACTGGTCGTAAATACGATTCGAATCGTACGTGCAACTTTGGCCCCGTTATACGATTCGCGTGTTTGTGCCAAAGTGAACTGAAGATGCCTTCAGGTTACTGCGGTGCCACGCTAAGACTAGCCTCGAATGTCCACTGACATGGGCTGAAGGACGCCTGCATAGGAAGCCCCAAAGAACCCCTGCATCATTACATTGTCGTGACTCGTCCTGCAACTGAGAGGGGCCTAATCAACGACAAGTGCACCATGAGACGGCACATATGCACTTTTCTTCTGGAGGTCGCGGTGCGCGAGACGCCTTTCTTCTTCCAGTGCTCCCCTCGCCTGTATGTGCTGCTGGCGAAGATCGTCGTCCGCCGTGACTCTCACCCCAGTGCAATCGCCCACACTTGATCATGGCTCTGCTCGCCTCGTCCGCCATCCTGGAGGCACGGGGTTTTGGCGTCGCGCCTCCAGCGCCCACCGTCGGTCCGCCGCCGCTGGGCGCCAGGCAGGAGGCGTTTATGGAGACCTGCGCGTGGTACCCGCTCACGTCGAGCGGCAGTGACTGGGACGCCATCATGTGCGAGGAGCCGTGCACGACGAGCGACGGAAAGTTTGGGTGCAGCTTCATCCCGCAAACATGTCAGGACAGCACCGACCCGCTGTGTGCTGCGTCGGCGACTTACGACCCAGCCGTCACTTGCTGGTGAGTTTGCTGCGCCTGGCCACAAGCGCCTTTCGTGAGGGACAATGTTTCCATGCTGACCGATGGCAGTGAAAGCGACTATCCCTTCTGCGTGACTGGCTTCCTCACCTCTGGTGTCGACACCCTCACGGCTTTCCGCTGCGGGAGGGGCGAGCTGTCCGGCGTGGCCTCGCTCTACCTTTCGCCTGAGATCACCAGCGCGTTCACAAGCACGACCACAACGACGACGGAGGAGGAAAGCAAGCCCAAGACCATCACCAAGGTCGTCGCCGAGACCTCACAGACGGAGACTCCCGACGACGGAGGGAGTCCGCCCATTGGAGCCATTGTGGGTGGTACAATAGGCGGTGTCGCCCTCATCCTCCTCGTCGCCTTTGCCATCTGGTTCATCCGCTTCCAGAGAGGAAGGTCGGCCGATTCCGCTGCCAAATCCACGCCCAGCATGGAACCCTACCGCCAACCCGAGTACGCTGGTAACCAACCGAGCTATGCTGTGTCGCCGACTCAGGGGCATCAGAGCGGCTACTATGCGCCGTCGACACAGAGCTACGAACCGCAAGGGTACGCAGGGGCGCCTGTGGGATATGCATCGACGGCTCCGGGATGCCCGCCGCCTGGCCAGTCGATGATGACACAGATGGACCCGGTCGTCGAGTTGCCGGGGTATTCTGGGTATAGTGTTCCTCAGGAGCTCTCTTCACACGGGAGATGAATTTCGGGTTACCACATGTGGATATCAAGCGGGTTCGTGGAAAGAGTCTCAGTATTAATTTTTGGCTATACTATTGGAGGCACTTCTAATCGGATATACCGCCTCAACAAACCGCTATAGAGCAGTGGCTTTGCGTGAGAAGCCAGATGCAGCTATCGCCCAAGTCCGGGGTTTTATGGGTAAGGACCAGGCTGCGCAAGCCGGCTCAACTCATTCGATAGTATGCAATGCCCTGTATACGTCTACAGAGTTGTGAGTACCCTCAAATCGCACGAATAGACGCTTTTCGATGAGTTATATTGCCATGGCTGGCAATATTATGGCTCGTTGTCCGGTGTCCTGAGGTATGGTACCCGCCAGCTTGCTAAAGTACTATATCCAATTGGCGATGCCTTACACACTAGTAGAACTTACCCTCTTCGAGTTCAGGTATTGATCGCCATGCGTGAACATAGTGGCTCTCTATCAATGTCAATACAAAGATCGGTGATCTCACTTGCGTCTCCCAGCTAACCACTGCCGTTCAGCCAACAGAGCATTAGTAGCGGAATTCGCAATAGGCAGCCTGCAGAAGACTCGGAATAAGGATTGTACTCAATATTCAAGTCTGTCATACCAAGATTCAATAAAGTTCACGAATAATCTCGAGACTAGTGCCAGGACCCCGGGACATGCCGACGAGTGGTGGCTGCCCCCCGCAATCGGGCGGCGGTACCTTATCTCGCTTATTTTTCACCTTGATTCAGGCACGTACGTATAAACCTTCTCCAAAGCCCTCAGCCGGCCCTATGCGAGCACCGCCGAGGCGGCCTCGCATGGCTTGGAGACATCTCCGAATAGGGAAGCTCGGTAACCAGCACGGACAAGCACGCACGCATGCATAAGCTAAGAAACAAAAGATCCCCAGGACACGGAGCCCTCCCCATTGGATGGACTGCAGGCTTTCATAGAGTCTAGACACTTCTCTCACCTTCAATTTAAGTCTTCAAAGAGCAGGTCACGTCTTTAAAAAGTACTTGCCTCTCCATACACCGGCACGCCGCCCACCCAGCATATCCCAGATCGTTCGGCGCCTGACACCATCACCATGAAGCTCACCACGGCAGCCGCTCTGCTCCCTCTGGCCGTTGCAGCCAAGAAGGAATGCCACCCGCCCGTTGAGTCAGAGAAGCTACAAGATCTCATCACGGAGGAGGGCCTGCTCGGCAACCTCCAGAGGCTCTACGACATTGCCGAGGCCAATGGTGGAAACCGCGCCTTTGGCTACCCGGGCTATGCCGCCTCAGTCGACTACATCTACGGCGAGGTCTCCAAGCTCAAGGGCTTCACGGCCTGGAAGCAAGACTTCCCGGCCCTCTTCACCAACACCACCGCGGCCGACGTCTCTGTCGGCGATGAGTCCTACCGCACCGTCGCCCTGACCTACACACCCAGCACCCCCGAGGAGGGCGTCACCGCGGAGCTGGCGCTGGCCCCCGAAGGTGCTGATGGCTGCGACGCCGCCAACTATGGCAATGTCGAGGGCAAGATTGTGCTCGTGGAGCGTGGCCTGTGCCCCGACGCAACCACATTTGCCGGCAAGGTCAGGGCAGCCGCGGCCGCAGGCGCCGTCGCCGTCGTGCTGTACAACTCGTCTCCCGCAAAGCTGACCGCTGGCTCCCTATCCATGCCGAGCCCCGACTACGTCCCTGCTGCGCTCATCGACCAGGAGCCCGGCCAGGCGCTCAAGGCGCGGATCCAGGGTGGCGAGACCGTTGAGTCGCACACGACCATTGTCCAGCTGATCGAGGAGCAGATCACCCAAAACGTCATCCTCGAGACCGTCGGCGGCGATGCCGAGAACACGGTCATGTTGGGCGCCCACTTGGACTCTGTCGTCGCCGGGGCTGGCATCAACGACGACGGCTCTGGCTCGACCACCATCCTCGAGCTGGCCAGGGGTCTGTCGCACTTCCGCACCAACCTCAAGGTGCGCTTCGCCTGGTGGGGGGCCGAGGAGAACGGCCTGTGGGGATCGCGGTTCTACGTCAACAATATGACGGCCCCCGAGATTAACGACCTGCTGCTCTACCTCAACTTTGACATGGTGGGCCGTGGGTTCTGGGGCGTCTTTGACGGCGACGCCTCGGACGCGGGGCCGGGCGGCGCCCCTGGCTCGGACACGATTGAGGATCTGTTTGTCAAGCACTTTGAGGAGCAGGGCCTCGAGGTCACACCCGTCGGCTTGACGGGTGGGACAGACTACGTGCCCTTCCAGCAGGTCATCAACAAGCCCGTTGGTGGTCTGTTCACCGGCACCGGCGCCGCTCAGGACGATTGCTACCACCAGGTAAGCCCTTCACTCCTTCGAAAAAGTACTCCATGCTGACATTCTTTGGTAGAAATGCGACGACATCAACAACATTGAGCCCAACACCATCACCACCAATGGCAAGGCTGCCGCGCACGTCCTGTCCATCCTCGCCATCGATGGCAAGGAGCTCATCCCCAAGACGCCTGTCGACGAGACGTCTGTGGGCAGCCTTCAGGATCGCGCGTCGGGCCTCGCGTGGATGGAGTCGCGCGATTTGTTTGGGGCCGGCCACGGCAAGCTGTGTGATCACGATATCATCTAAGCGGGCGGGTGTTGTACTGGGAAAAGAGTGGCAACTGATGATTGAAGCGAGGCGTTGGTGGCTGTTGAGATGTGATGAGAGATGAGAAACGACATGCTATTCGTTAGCAATAGAGCCATTGTGAGAGCGTAATAGTTCCTAGGATTGTCTTTTGCTTGAGCGTAGTGTACATGCGTAGTGTAGAAGAAGGGGGGTTTGTGACATTTTGGAAATGTGTCAACGCAGTCATGCTTGTTGCCAAACTCGGGGAAGGAACTCCCAGGGGCCCAGATGCTCTTTCCTTTCCTCTGTATCCGTAGCTGCCTCAGGCCGACCGCCCAATTTTTTCAGGATGCGGACGGATGCCAACTCAGAAATCCTTCTCTTCTAATGTCTTCGCCCTGTGTGCTACTCACTGGACTTCGAAGCTCTGCTTTGCACAGGGCCCATTCTTTTGGGGAGAGGGACACAGTAAGCCCATCTTACTGTACCCTCGACTCAACCTCCATGCAGCATCGGCGCGCGCATCACATTCACGCCGCGCACGTTTCGAGCTGACTGGTGGCTGACATGTCTACGATACCGTGCACCGAATGACCCTGGATCAACAATACACCCGCAAACGAGGGCAATGCGATAAGCACGCTCTGCTGAATTACTCGGACCCTGGATTTCGACACCCATGGCGTGGATGCGAGGGGTCGAGGGCCCGCCGGTGTGAGATCCGATGAGGCGATGACGATCGTAGGAATATGGTTGACAGCGACGTCCTCCGACATGCTCTACGACGCGAACAGTTCGAATGCTATCGTAGTACGCCGTACCATAAGCCATCGTAAAAGGGTCTAACAGTCGACTCACTTTGATTGGGCTGCTGCTCCCATTACAGCATCGATGGGCTTCGCTGCCAAGCATCGTGACGACGCGGGGAAGAGAAAGCAGCCCCATCGCGAAATCACACTTGTGGATTGTACGAAAACACCCTTGCCAGGATTGTGAAAACGCGTACAAACGCACAAGGATTGGATGGCATGGCCAAATCGACATTGAGAAATCTGACATTGTATTTTGACCAAGTCTACTCCGCACCAACGCCCAATCCAGCAGGAAGCGCGATGACGATGACACTCCGTCCTCTAACGCCCCCCGTTCGGCTTCGGTCACGAAAAGCCGGCCACACGCTGCACCGCATGGCATGGCATTTGCCGCTTCGCCCCCGTAGTAGCGGCCGATTACCCCCTGCGGATCTGTCTCGACGAGGCAGATGACTGTGCGGACCATACAAAAGACGACCTGGTTCGCCAGGAAATCAGTATGATTTACGGAGTTACGCGCGCTACCGTTACGGGGAAAAAGGCTCGGCTGGATGTGGAGAGGAAATGGCTCACTTTTCCACAGTTTCTTCTTCTTATTCATCCTGGGATTCGGTGGTAATACAAGTAGCCGTGCGAATCCTCAAATTCCTACGTTTTTTTCGTGCCTCCTCACTCAGCAACAGAGTAGATTTCTTGGTTATTCCCTTCTCAGCGCTCATATACAACTCATTCACAAGCGTTTTACATACACATACCGTATACCCAGCGTACATCACCACAAGTACAGTCACACACAACACAAAAAATGCCTGCATTGGACAACAAGATGAGCAATGGCGGCCCCAGCGTCGGTGGGCGTAACGGGGGATCCTCATTCATCAATGGCAAAGGCAATGCCTCCGCCTTTGGAAACGGCATCGCGCAAATGAACGGCGACGGCTCCATTGCCAACGAGTGTACCGACAGCGTCAAGGACGAAGTGGCGGGCACCAAGCCCGAGGTCAACGAGGACCCCCTGAGCGCCATCTTGAACGGACACGCGCCCCACGATCCCCTCTCGAACGGTTTGAAGCTCAACCGTGCCGAGGAGATGGACGATCTGCTGTCCGAGGTGCGAAAGCTCATCATCCCGTTCATCAAGAACGCCGACAATGCAGCTGCCCAGAAACACACGGGCAACGCCTACGTCAACCCCGCCACCGGCAAGGCGCAACAGGTGCTGGTCGACTACCAGGAGCCCGCCGAGCTGGCTGCGAAGCTAGACGCGGCGCTCCCTGACGAGGGTCGCGGCAAGGAGGGCATCCTGACCTGGATCGAGCAGATCCTCGCCAACAGCGTCAATACCTGGGACCAGGGCTTCATGGACAAGCTCTTCTCGACTAACACGCCCATAGGCGTGATTTCTGACCTGATCCTCTCGATCCTCAACACCAACCTGCACGTCTACCAGGTCTCGCCCGCGCTGACCATTGTCGAGAAGACCACCGCGCGCGCGCTGGCCGGCATGTTTGGCCTCACCGGACCCCACGCTGGTGGCTTCACCTGCCAGGGCGGGTCCTCTTCCAACCTGACATCCATGGTCGTGGCGCGCAACACGCTGTTCCCCGAGTGCGCCGTCGGCGGCAACAAGCACGACTTTGTCGTCTTCACGTCCGTCAGCGGCCACTACTCGGTCGAGAAGAACGCCATGATCTGCGGCCTGGGCAGCTCCGCCGTCTGGGCGGTCCCTGCTGACACCGCCGGCCGCATGAAGCCGTCTGCGCTGAACGACATGATCGTCAAGGCCAAGGCCGAGGGCAAAACCCCCTTTTACGTCAACGCCACGGCCGGCACCACCGTCCGCGGCGCCTACGAGCCCCTCGAGGACATTTCGGCCATCTGCAAGGCGCACGGTTTGTGGATGCACGTGGACGCCTCCTTTGGCGGGCCCGTCGTCTTCTCGCGGAAGCATCGCCACAACCTGGCCGGCTCGCACCTCGCCGACTCGCTTACCGTCAACCCCCACAAGATGATGAACGTGCCCAGCACGTGCTCCTTCCTCCTCGGGCCGGACGTGCGCATCTTCAACAAGGCCAACAGCACAAAGGCCGGCTACCTCTTCCACTCGCACGGCGACGGCGAGGTCTGGGATCTGGCCGACCTGACCCTGCAGTGCGGCCGTCGCGCGGACAGCTTCAAGCTCGCCCTGGCGTGGCAGTACCACGGCACCGCGGGCTTTGAGAGACAGGTCGACCACTCCTTTGCCATGGCCGCCCACCTGTACCAGCAGGTGACGGCGTCGTCGCGCCTCGAACTCGTCACCCAGGACATGCCGTCGTGCCTGCAGGTCTGCTTCTACTACCGACCGGGTGGCGGTGATGTGCCTTCTGAAAAGGAGGTTGTCACCAAGATGACGGCGGATATCGTGCACCAGATCATCCCGCGTGGATTCATGGTCGATTACGCCCCTGGTGATAGGGGGAGTTTCTTCCGCGTCGTGGTCAACTGGCAGACGCAGCCGGGCACGGTCGAGGGTCTGGTCAAGGCGATTGAGACTGTGGGCATGGAGCTGTATGGATAGACATAGAGATGACTTATGATAGACTACATGTAGTATGAATAGATGGCTTGAACGCGCAAAGTACCCGTATCCTGTGGCCCCCTCTTCGAGAGTGTGCATACCAGCCAGCTTACCCTGTAGTGAGGTATCACAGTCGACCTTATCGATAAGCCCGCCGTCAAAAAGTTTCAACTGCGAGAAGGAGATCCGCCCACCTCATCACCAACCCAAGCAACTTAGCTCAACCGCCCACAATGCCCAAGCCACGTACCAAGCGCGGCGAAGAGCGCAAGCGGAAGCGCAACGACGACCAGCCAGCCGCCAATGCGTCCAAGCGCTCCCGCCGCGAGGATCTCGAACATGAAGAACCCGGCCACGCCCACCCAGAACAACCCGCCCTCTATGGCGACTCGCTCCACCACGAAGAGGCCCCCGAGACCGAGTTCTTCGGCATGCTCAACGAGGAGGAGCAGGAATACTTCCGACACGCTGACGAACTCCTGGAGCTAAACCAGTTCCCCAGCCCCGACGATCGCGGCCTGTTCATCACGTCCGTCTTCAACGAGGCCAAGGGCAAGGAACTCAAGATTGCGTCCTCGCAGAGCTGCTCCCGCCTGATGGAGCGACTCATCCAGCTGGCGGACACTGCGCAGAAGAAACAGCTCTTTGCAGCCTTTGCGGGGCACTTTCTCAGTCTCGTGCAGCACCGGTTCGCGAGTCACTGCTGCGAGGCGCTGTTCCTCCGGTCGGCGGGCGCCGTGAGCGAGGACCTGGGCGGTGACACTGTGTCGTTTGTGGTGGATACGACAAAGGGGGGCAACGGGGCGGAAGTCTCGCCCGCGCAGTCGATGGAGTCGTTGTTTCTCGAGACGTTGGACGAGCTCGAGGGGAGCCTGGCGTTCCTGATCACCGACCGGTTTGCGTCGCACACGCTGCGCGTTCTCCTGCTGGTCCTGTCGGGCCGGCCGCTGGATGATGCGGCCGCCAAGACGTTGCTGAAGAGCAAGAAGAAGGAGAACGTCTCCGTGGCGGGCGCCGCGGCGGCCGACGAGGCCAACCACGGGCCCAGGGTCGTGCCGGAGAGCTTCACCATGGCTGTGCAGAAGATCATCTCGGACTCGATGGAGAACGTTGACGCGACGAGTCTGCGCGTCCTCGCGAAACACCCCATTGGCAACCCGACGCTGCAGCTCCTACTCGAGCTGGACCTCACCCTCAACAAGTCCGACGACCACAAGCCGACACTTCTCTTCCGCCTGCTACCCGACGCGCCCAAGTCACTGGGCGACGAGTCGTCGGAGGCGAGCGAGTTTATCAACGGCATGGTGTACGACCAGATCGGCTCGCGACTGGTCGAGACGCTGATCACCCACGCACCGGGCAAGGTGTTCAAGGCCATGAACCAGAACATCTTCCTGCCGCGGATACAGGGCTACGTCCGAAACGACGTGTCCTGTTATCCGGCGATTCGTGTGCTGAACCGCCTCGGCAAGGATGATTTGGTGAAGGCCGTGGCGCAGATCGAGCCCACCATCCCCCAGCTCGTGAGCAAGACGCGATACAACGTCATCCGCACGTTGTTCGAACGCTGCGTCGCGCGCGGGCTCAACGATGAGGTCAAGAAGCTCAACAAGGGCCTCAAGGAAGGGTGTGGACCACAGCCCGCCGATCTCATCCGCACCCTGTGCCTCCTACAGGACGATGAGGCAGCGCCAGACGGTAAGAAGAAAAAGCAGGACACCACCCAGCTGGCACGCAACGAATACGCCATTCAATCGCACGGCGCCCAGCTACTGACCACCCTCTTCACCATCCCCGGTCCGGCCAAGGGCGTGCAGGAAGCGCTGCTCGCCTTGCCGGGTGCGCAGCTGCTCAAGCTCGCGCAAGCGTCCATGCCTGCGGTGACGGTGCTCACCACGGCGTTCAACACCTCCTGCCCCAACAACCCAGGTTTCCACAAGACCCTCACCTCCACCCTCGTGCTCCCCCACACTGGCGCGCTGGCCACGTCGCAGTACGGCCACAACATCCTGACCACGCTCGTCGAGGTCCCTAGCAAGGGCAAGGAGCGCAGCCTGCCGTTCCACATGAAGGAGGCCGTGATGGACAAGCTGGGGCAGATGGAGGCGGAGCTGCGCAGCAGCTGGATGGGACGCAGCGTGTGGCGATCATGGAAGGGCGACATGTGGAAAACGAGGAGGGGCGACTGGAAGGTGTGGATGAGGGAGGTCGATGTTCCTGCGCAGGGTACGATGAGCGCGAACAAGGTGGCCGTCAAGGGGAGGCGGGAGAATGGAAGGGAAAAGGCGATGGATGAGCAGCCTGCTTCTGCGGAGGTGGTTGTCGAGGAGACGGTCGCTGAGGAGACGGAGCCACAGGAGAATGGCGATGTGATGGATGTTGATGGGCCTGAAGCTGTGGAGGAGGAGCCCTCCGAGGCGGTGGCACTTGAGGATGGAGAGTCCTTAGAGGCCAAGCCCAAGAAGGACAAGAAGAAGAAGAAAAAGGACAAGACTGGCGCGGACGGCGAGGTGAAGGAGAAGAAGTCAAAGAAAGACAAGAAAGACAAGAAGGGCAAGAAGGGCAAGAAGGAGAAGAAGGAAAAGAAGGCCAAAAAGGAGGTCGTAGCAGACGAGGAAAAGGAGTAGATACCCCATAGGGCTTGTCCAAGAAACAGTCACGATTTACAAATTTGTGCGCTTGGTTTGGGAAGAGTCGCTGCTCTGCCGCACGCTGTCTCTTCTCGGAAGCTTGTTGTTCTCCATTACCCCTGAATATGGGGATACCTTGAAAGAACCGCCAGCATCGATGGGCGCAAAGCCGTCTGTCCACCACCTTCTCAAGCCTCATTCCATTCTCGTCTGATCATTCTTGGTCCACATTTTCGTACTGAGCACTTGTGGCTTCGCTGATATCTCTCATGCAGGAGAAATGACATTAATAGCTTGAGTTATATCAGTGTCACCTAGAACTGGGACGAAATTAGAATGAAGCCAGCATCATCCTCTCCTCTCTGGAACTACAATAATATTTTCTTTTTGCCGTAATTCTACTTCTCTCAACTACAGAAACCCCCTGCATTTCACTCAGGTACCGAGAGCAAGGTACTGGTGCTAGGAACAGCATGCCTCGAGGCTGTTACGACATCACGTTCACTGCACCGGGCTCTGAAGCCGCCCGAGCACTAGCATCTGCAAAGGCCAAAGCCAAATCGAAGCAGAGCAGCTCTGTCCCCTCGACGGCCTCTTCAGCCGGCGTCGAGAAACCACCGTCTCCGAAACTAAGCAAACAGACCTCTCAGCAGACCTTGGACACTCCGACCAAGTCCTGAAGGCTGGGCATGTCTGGAAAGTTTCTCATGGGAATCTGCTCAAAGGTGACTCCTTCCTTTCCCGTCAAGGGTACTATGCACACAGCGCAGAAGGCCTCACACAACAAGGCCGCCCATGAGAGCAACACAGAGATTGCGACAACACGTCAGCCAGCATTGGAGATGGATCTGCCGAGCTCCTTGACTTCACGCTCTTAGGAGGAGCCATTTGCAAGGAACCAGCAGAGACAGGCTCTACCAGTGCAACAGCAGGGCAATGCAGTTGCTGGGCCAGAGTTGTCGAGCAATCTGCCAGTCGGCAATGAAAGCCTCCAACATCTACCAAGGGAATGGGGAGGCGGCCCAGGTGTCACCCAGAACCACAGGTTGGAGGCTGCTGTATACAATGATCATGCCGCCAGCTCGACGCCCCCCTTTATCCATCATCCTACACTGCCCATTGAGGATATCCACGGCCAGTCTTACCACTTTAGCGGCTACCCCACAAACGAGGAACACCTGCGGATGTTTTACGCACAGCCGCCACCGGCAAGAGTCCCACTATCATTGATACTCCGATCCAATGGCTCGCCTCTGCGATCAACGCGCCTCGCTAGCGACCCTCGTTACCACGAGCCTGCGCCTACCGTGCCTATCCACGACGGCCCGCCGAAACAGGACAACAACATGGACATGCCACCATGGCTCCATCCGCAGAGTGGCATGTGGTTCGAGAGGCTGTCGTTGGACCGCGGTCGCACCGTGAATCTGGTGCCCACGGCCAAGAAGAGGAAGAGAGGCGCCCATGGACACAGTAAGTCTGAGCCAACAGGCGCACAGACGAGCAGCAAGCGCAAAACCAAGATTGACGGTCTGCTTTCGACAGAGGGGGTACCTGATGACTTCCGATGGAGTCATTTTGGACCGGACGAGATGCAACAGGCAATGCTGCTTGATCAAGTGCTGCACAAGCCGGATGATGAGGGTTCGCAGCAGCCGAGCACGCTTGATCTTGAATTGGCGAGCTGGAACATGAACATGGCGTTCGCCGTGTGTGATCTGACACTGGGTGCATCGTCCTGCCCCCCTTCGAGCCTGGGCGGAGACGGCTTGACCGATCATCCTCTCCCCGAGTTGCATGATTCAAGCAGCACCATGCCAGGCATGGCCTCTGGACCAGTGTCCGTGTTTGGAAGTACGCCCGATGTGGCGAGTGTCCCATGCCCAGGACATGCGTGCCCAGCTATAGTAGACGGCAAATCCTACTCTCCTGGTGTTGGCATGACATTTGACAAGGTGCCGCCGGCCCCTGGCATCCGCCCACTGCAGGGCGGCCCCCTCGACAACATGCCTCATGGCGACAACGGCGCACAGCCAGCGATAGAGGCTGATCAGTCTTCAAGAAAGAAGTGAAGAGGATCAGACAAGAAGGCAAAAACGGCCATGCCTCACTGTAGAAGCATGAAAAAGAGTCGAGACAGGATAGAAGAACAGCAAATAGATGAACACGGCAGGCGCACGCGCGCCCGTCCTTTCTATATGTACGCTCGCATGTGCTCAAGATATGAGGGTACCCTACTTCTCATCTCCAAAATTATGCAAGCTAATGTCGCTCTTCTCCCCTGGCGTCTTGTGCGTCTCCGGCGGCGCGGACACGTTCATGGGGCCACCGTTGACGACCGCGGCCACGGGTTGTGTCTGCGCGTCGCTGCCGCCGCCCACCCCTTCCTCCTGCAGCTTCTTGATCTTCTTCTTACCGTGCAGACAGCTCAGGTGGTCAAAGTAGCCGTCCGGGATGGCGGTGCGGTACTGGCCGTTGAAGACGCCAACCTCAAAGGCGGATATATCCATGCCGCCGACGACGGGCTCGACGCGGGCCTCGATGCAGGCCTCGACGCACTGGGCGAGGTCAAGATAGATGACGCGGTCGGCGCCGATGAGGTGGGCGATCTCGTCGTCGGTGCGCGAGTGGGCGATGAGCTCCTTGGGGTCGGCGAGGTCGATGCCGTAGACATGCGGGTGCTTGACGGCGGGTGAGCACGAGGCGAAGATGACCTTTGTGGCGCCGGCCTCGCGGGCCATCTGCACAATTTCCTTGGAGGTGGTGCCGCGGACGATGGAGTCGTCGAGCAGGCAGACGACCTTGCCCTTGAACTCGGACTGAATGGGCGACAGCTTGCGGCGGACGCCGCTCATGCGCGCCTTTTGGTTGGGCAGGATAAAGGTGCGGAAGACGTAGCGGTTCTTGACAAACGCGTTGGAGCACGGCTTGCCGAGCTCGGTGGCCATGTCGACGGCGGCCGTGTTGCTCGTCTCGGGAACGGGGATGACCACGTCAATCTCGTCCACGAGGTCCTTCATGGTCTCCTTCATCCGCTTGGCCAGCTTGGAGCCCATGAAGCGCCGACTCTTGTAGACGGAGATGCCGTCAATGGTCGAGTCGGGCCTGGCAAAGTAGACGAACTCGAAGCTAGGGACCTAGGTCAGCTGACTTTGCTTTTTGTTTTTTGTTTTGATGGGAAACTTACAGATCCGGCGTGTACGACACCGGTTCCACAATCTGGCGGAACTGAGGATGCCCCCCCTTCTCGATGAAGACGGCCTCGCCGGGGAGAATGTCCCTGATGTTCTTGAACCCGAGCTGCTGCAGCGCGATGGACTCGGAGGCCATCATGTAGTCCTTGGCGCCGGCCTTGGTCTCCGAGGGCCGTTCGCCAATCATCAGGGGGCGGATGCCGTTCTGGTCCCGGAAGCCGAGGATGCCAAAGCCGGCGATGAGGGCGGTGCAGGCAAAGGCGCCGTTGCAGCGGGCGTAGACGTCCTGGAGCGATTTGAAGACATCCTCGACGTTGGCGCGCGCTTTGCCGAGCTCGCCGAGCGCGTGGGCGAAGACGTTGAGCCTGGCAGGTTAGCGGTGCCGCTTCTCTTCCTTGGGCGAGGGACGGGACATACAAGAGCTCAGAGTCCGAGTCTGTGTTGATGTGTCGGCGCGCCTCGAGGTCGAGGTATTTTTGCAGCTCCTCGTTGTTGACGAGGTTGCCGTTGCACGCCAGTGACAAGCCAAAGGGGCTGTTCACGTAAAAGGGCTGGGCTGTGGTTGCGAGGGTCTATCAGCTGGCCGCTCCCTCATGGCTGACAGTGATACTGCATGGAGAGGAAGAACCCTAACCTTCTGATGCCGACGACGTGCCAGCGGTAGGATAGCGCAGGTGCGCAATGGCGGAGGACCCGGGCAGGTTCTGTATCCGCTTGCCCTCGTCGAAGACTGCGACCTGGTCAGACTTATGATATGGTCTCCCGTATCCTAACGCATACCTTTGGCGACGAGTCCGTTTCCTTTACATTGGTACAGACGTCCTCCTTGATTTGATGTGATACCCGCTGCGTCTTGCCCTCGCTGGAGAGGGGGGAGGAGGTCAGCCATTGTCTCTCACTCACTCGCGGGCTCTCGCTGTCAGCGTACATGTTGTAAGAAGTAAAGACTGTTGTGAAGATCGATGGCAGCCGTGCTGGCCGAGGTGTCGCCCAACTAGGGTAAACATCAGTCAGTCAAGATCTGGTCCGTATTTGATGCATAATCACTATCCCCAGGGCCGTATCCTCCTCCTCAAGCTGCTGCTGGGGACCCCGACTTCTTCCTCCACGTGAGATGAGGCACATACCAACAGGGCCGTGACGCCACACATGGTGCAGTGTTGCGCGGCAGCGAAAAAGGACAGATGGACGGATGGCGTGTGTCACGTCGTGCCAGGCGGTACGTCGTGCGTGAGCAATAGTACTGGTAGGCCGCCTGGTGATATACAATAAGGGTATCTGACGCGCGAGGATTTTTTTTCTCCCTTCTAAGTTACTAATGAGTTTGGGTTGCATGAGTCGGTTGGCGCTCGCAGGATGACAGATTAGTGGGGGTGCTGGAAATTTCACTGTGGGGGAAGAAATGACCCCGCGCGACTAAATAAATGGCGCATATGACTGAGTAAACTCCTACTAAACTGGCAGATATTTCTGTCGCTCTGAATGGCCAGGCCAATCGATAAGATGCCCATCAGCCTTTCACCACCCATTCGGCATCTAGGGCAAGTAGGATCTGGCATAGAACATGGAAAGCGATCACCAGTCAGCTACAGAGACAACTCACGACATCCAAGTAGTATCCTCAAGAAACAGAGATATAATTAAGTAGTAACTCTGTCCTCAAAGGGGCCTCCAGTGTGCGAGCCTCCAAACATTCCTCCCTGCGACCATCTTCTCCAAGTGGTGGTATCATGTTTGCTCAACTCCCTGGTCCATGTTTTTGTTGCCTCCCAACGAATCCATCGACAATAAATAAAAATAAAAATATTGCTGCCCTGTAACAAGCGGACCTGACACTCAAATGTCAGCGCGATACACGCGAAACTCCCGAGGGTAACGACGCCATCAAACTCCAAAAGCTCATGTGCAACAGACAATGATTGTCCCCCTTCCGAGGAACTCCACCCAATGGCCGACCCGAATCTGCTTCATTGACTCTAATAAGTGTGCAATCGTCTCTCCCACAGTCGTCACACAAGGGTAACGTGGGTATTGTCGTGATTCTCTCAAAGGAGAAATATTGGCTTAGGCCGGCGGACCGCAGTCTCGCAAGGTTAAAATAATCTGTGAACGGTGCTAGGAAATTCGTAATCGTAAAAGATAAAAATAAAAGTACTGGGAGCAAATGGCTAAAGAGCCACCGCTCACTCTTGGCTCGACCACACATTGTCGTTGAGGAAGTTGTCCCAGGCGGGCTCCTCAGTGCGGTACTGCCAGTTGGCGTCGTCGCCCATGGCCTCGCCGAACATGTTGTCTGCGGGCGGTTGGTCGTACTCGCCAAGCTTCTGAGGAGCGGACATGCCGTCGTAGAAACTGCTGTCCATGGTCTGCCAGTTGTGGCCGTAAATGTTCTGGCTGAACGGGTTGGGCTCCATGTTGGGCATACCCATCAGCAGCCTCATCTCGGGCGGCAGATCGGACGTGAATATGGACTGCGGCTCGTCCTCGGCGAACTGCGGCTGGTGTGCCGGCGTCGCTGGTGCAGATGCCTCATGCGTAATTGTGGGCGAGAGCTTGCTGCCCACGTTGGTGGGCGAGACGACCGAGGCAGCCGAGTCGTTACGCTCGAGATTGTGCGTCGACATGGACTGGAAGGGCTGTTGGAAGGTAGACGACATGGGTGACTGGGGAAGCTGGGAGTGCGGCGACTGAGGTGCCGGCGACTGCATTGTTGGTGCCTGCTGCTGTGTCTGCTGGGGTGATCCGAAGCTCATCTGACGTGTAATCTGCTGGGCGTGCACGCCCGCATCCGGGAAACTCTGGGCAAAGAGTCGGTTGACGGGGTTCTGCGCCCAGGCGTCATTGGAGCGCTGCATGAACTGGGACATGGCCATCTTGTTGGTCATCCAGGCCTCGATTCGGGCGTTGAACTCGGGCGAGCTGGTCTGCATCTGGGGGTTGAGCAGGCGCAGCGAGCGCGGCAGGTCATCCTCTTCCTCCTCGTACATTTCCTCGCGGCGGACAATCTCCTCGGTGATGCGGAGGCCCTTGCCCGTCCGCTTCTTGTGGATCTCGGACGCCATACGGGCGGACTGGACGCGTGCCTCGATGCTGCGGTCCTGACGCCTCGACGCAGCGACGTAGGCACGCTCCTGGTTCTCTTCGTGGGAACGCTCGGCCTGGGAAGGGTTAGCTACGACTGGCGCTGGCAGGGTTGGGGAGCAGCGCGAACCTTCTTGATGCCCGAGACATCAGACGCGGAGCTCTTTCTCGCGCCTGTGTCGGTGGCTGGTGCGGCTCTCTTCGGCATGGTGATTAAAGTGTTTTGATAAGGATATGTAATTTGTTGTTGGACTAGCGTGGTGGCGACGACGAGTGTAGTCGTGGGTGATGCGTGTTTCGTGTTTTCTGATTGTGGTAGCTCTCAATGTGTTGGAAAGTGGTGATAGAGGCAAGTTCCTCATAGGGCAATCGAATTGCTAGCTGTACCAAGTTGTGACAGGGACAAGGAACATCAAGGAACATCAGAGGGGCCAGAAGGGAAGGGCTAGATCTGGGAAGGGCATGTTTTAGTACCTTGGGAGGGGACCATGGAGGAGGCATGCACATCGGACGGCACGGGCTAGTCAAAGCCTGATAGCACAGATCTGATGGGTGAAAGACAGGCATCTAGGTACCTACGGAAAATGGGCTTTCTTCGCTGCAACGGACTGGGGTTAGGAAACAACTAGTGTAGCTCGACCAAAAAGCAATGTCTGGGCACCTGCAAGATACCGATACGCAGTAAAGCTCGATCTGGGAGCACTGCAGCTGGATCAGGCAGGCTGGCGGGCAGGCGGGGGGGCGTGAAGAAGGCAGTGTTCACTGTTTCCTCTCCAACGCTTTGCGATCGATCTCGATCCCGAGATCAGTCAGCACCGGAGCGCTCGCTGCCCGGGCGGCTTTTGCGGAGCCCCAAACTTGGCCCTTCCCCTCTCATTGGACTCGCCCTCATTCAGACTTTCACCTTCGCTTTTTGGGGGGAGGACGGAGGCGCGGGAATGCGTGGCCAGCGACTGACTGGACCGGAGACTCGAGTCGCTAGGGGACCACCACCCTGGACATTTCTCGGTGTTAGCGCTTCTACTGTTAAATTCTGTCATGTCTCTGGGTTGCATTTCACCCATGCTGCTCGCCGCATAATATGTCGAGTCTTTCCTCCTTGGTAGACGGTGAGCACGGTGGTCCCTCATGACCTTATCCTGCTCTGTAGGAGCGAGTGCAGGCAGAGGAGCAGTCTAGATGTCTGCAGGTCGGCCAAAAATGGCCGCAAACCCTTGATTCTCCGCAGCATGAAACGGAGCTGTCTGTCTGCTTACACAAGCTGAAGCACGTTACGTACATGATTGAGCATTGGGCGCGTCGGTACCGATCGCAGGGCCCGCCCCGACACGAGCCTAGGATCGGAGACTGGAGCCTGAGAACTGACATAAGACTGGTGACGGACGGCTGACAGTGACAGATGCTCCAGTCCTCCAGCAACTAAAATCAGCCAATATTCAACACCACATTCTTCCAATCACAAGCTACCTTACCGTGGCCCGAGTTTAGTCGGCGACTGCACGAGCTCGCCTCTTCGCAATTTGGAGCGTCCGTAACTCCGTACACGCGTATACGACAGAGGCAGGACGTGCTGCTCTTCCTGTGATTGACGACTGATCCCATGCCGCCTGCGTCTGACGAGCCACAAGGGCTTCACGCATGCCTCAATGCATGGACAAATCTGCACTGCGATCTGCCGGCCGCCCTATTCTAGGTTACTCCGTACGAGCTGTCCGACTGGCAACAGTCGAGAGTCAGAAGTCAAGACCCTAATGTTAGCCCCTGCGACCACACGCATCCGCACACGCTTGGCTTCATGCCATCTTCCACGATGTGCTTGGTGACAGCCACGGTCGCCAGATCAGCTTGCATCAGATTTTGTGTGGTTTCCAGATCACTGCTGCCCCCTCGCTGGCAGTCGGATCGCTCCAGCTAAGCGGCAGCCATTTGTGGGGCGGCTCATGAGCCGATGCCACCAGAGCCACCACAAGTTCACCTCTTCGTTCTCGAACAGTCGGCACTGCAAGCCTCGGACGGTTGACCAGCCGTGTGACCAGAAATGGGCTCGTAGATCCTGGCGTCATTCGACGGCCAAACAACGTGTGCGCCGCGCCATTTTTACGCCATCCCCCCATCGTGCAAAGACTTTAACATCCGTCAATGCCCCTTCGCACGAACCACGCACGATGCTAGCGACGATCCCTAGGTTAGGGCGCCCACGGTCAAACTCAAACGTAGCTAGGGGACTTGGGGCCGATCCGGATGGACGGTCGCTGGGATCGCTGGCTGAGCGCTAGCAGCTTGCAATTCTTGCCGGCAGCGGCCATCACAATTGTCCAAATACCTCGATGCTGGCGCACATCGATGCGCAGAGGCACTCGCTCAGCGAAAACCCTCGGAGTGGGAAGCCTATGATGATTTCGCAGACGCACCAACGACGACAGAGTCGCGAGATCTGTCGCGCCGATCCCCCACATTTCTCATCGACGGTAGCCCCGTCGGGTCTGATCTGATCTCATTCCAATCCAATCCAATCCATTCCACCTTAGTTAATTGCCGGTAGCAAAGATTAGCATCTCCTGGCCCTAAGCTAATATCGAACCCCAAGTGCAATTCATCAGGCACGCACCCTCGCACATACATAGCCCAGCTGTACATACAGGCAGGTCGCCGATCAGCCACTCGCTGACAATTGGCGTGGAGGACAGACACAGATCTCACTCTTGCATTCCTTGTGGCTTCCCTCCGCATAGGATGCTCCGGGCAGCGCGTGATACATTAGTTTTCCCATGTTCACACAGCCTGCCTGCGTGAACAGATTCGATGTTGTGAACGGCAAGGATTCGCTCGGCAGGTCTCTTGCAGGGGCACGCGCTGATGCGATTGGTCCGATGCGCCAATCAATGGCCGGTGCACATCTCCATCGTTTTTTAGATTCGGGTCCCTCAATCTCACTTTTACCGCTGTCCCCAGTATCGCCCGCGTGGGGCTATCGCTCAACATCTGCGCTGCCACCACATCCGTCATCACGCGTTATGATGTGCAAGCAACGTCAACTCGGGGAAGATCTCTCCTGTCCTGCTTTGTCAAAGTTTGATTCTCATCTCTGTAGCACAGCGGAATGCCGTGCCCTGCATCCGGTCGATGGAGCCAACCCTGCCGCTAATTAGCATTGGTGCACTAATGCCAGATCTCTAACACCACATCTGCGGGTTTCAGACGGATTGATACCAGATCTACCACTGCCAGTAGATGCCCTGCCCCAGTGGGAAGAGATGGCTTGAATGGAACCACAGGCACCGGACTGCCATCGCAAGCTATGTAATGTCTTGAAGGCTTCCTCCTCGCCAACATTTGAATCATGCTCATGGCCTGTCGTCTCGACTACCGTCTCGACGAACCTTGATCCTCAGTTGTACGAGACGAGCAATGGCATCGAGGTACGTACCTTTTAAACTAAAAAGGGGCACCTCGCAAAAATGACGAATTCTCCCACGCAAGTGACGAAGTCTTTGGCTAACAAACGTCCCCGGCAATACGCGTACCTGACTGCAGCGGCCGACTGGGGGCAATTGTCCTCTGCCCTGTGCGAAGAGGGTGTGATAAGATTTGCCTCTTCGCTCCGCAATAAATTCAAACCCAGTCACGCCCGAGCACTCCCCTCGTCCGAGCTTGCAGAAGCCAAGTAAGTATCGCTCCGCATCTGATATCTCTGGTCTTTCTGCCATGATATCTTTCCCGGGGGGGGCTTTGCACACTAATGCATAGAACTGTAGGGTGGGCGATTTGTGGCCATCCGACGACTGTCATCCACTACTGATCCCGGCTCGTGATATGTACGGAGTAGGATAAGCCATACCCTGCCGATATGCTCAAACGTGTGGAGCCTCGCTCATTTGTACATACATACAGATACGATTGGCACAATGGCTTACGCGGGTAGTGAATTTTGTTTTCAAAAGACCTTGCGATGCATGATTCGGACATGGATCAAAATATCATAATCATGTGCCAATTCTCGATATGTACTGTACGCCAAACCCTCCGACCCCGACAACATATTAACCGTTCCCCTGACAAGAAACGGTCCAGCCGTATTATGTGATCCCGATAAACATGGGTTGGACGTGTAATGATAGCGACAATAATGTGGAAATGACTCTCAGACGACTTCCGTGGTATCGGTGCTCCGCAACGCCGTTGGCCCGTTGATAATTGTGGTACAGTCGAGAAAATGCGCTAAAAGGACGTGGAGAGGATGTGACGCCTACCACCCCTTCTTCCTCGCGAACCGCTTGTTGAGCAGGGCAAGAACCTTGGGCACGTTGAACTGGACATATTCGAGATCCAGCTCATCCTGGTTATCCTTCTGCATCTCCAGGAGGTCGTCCAGCTTAAGGTCGAGCTCTAAAAGACCTCGGTTGCGGCCTGCTCCTGTTAGCCTGTTGATCTCGGACGCGGAAAAAGAAGAGACCTTACCCTTGTAGTGTAGTGAAATGACAAACGTCCCAGGCAGTGGGCTCGTAAAGTTGAAGTAAATGTTGGCCCGTCTGTTATCCGGCACATTGCTCTTCTGAATCACACCCTCCTTCTCCAGCTGCTGGTGGGTGAACTTGTATGGGCCGAGGATCTGCTGCTTCTGCTGCTTCCTCTTGGTGCCCTCGCTTTGCGAGCGGACATTGTGCAGGTAGCTCTTGTAGGTCTCTAGTTGGCCGACCAAGTACGTGTTGTGATCACGAATGGTTTTGTACACCTCTTCGAGTTTGGCTGACTCCGCAATGACGCCTTCTTTGAGCGAGCCTAGGTGATGGAGCTCCTGCTCGACCTCGTCCCTAAGCAGGCCGAACTGATCGCTTTTGTCGATAACGCCGAGCTCCTGAAGCTGTGACAGGAGCTCCATCGCTCGAATGCCTTTTCGCACCATCACCGCATCATTCCGGCTCGTGGCAGCCGCATCGGCAATCCGCTCCAGTCGTAGGGGACGTCGGGCCACCGGACTAGCGGGAGGAATAGACCGCATGATCTGGACGAAGATAGATTTGGCTTCCATAAAGAAGACTTCTTCTTGCGTAATGTCCAATGCCGCCGTCAGCGTATCAATGGCCGTCTCCCAGCGGCTGAAGAGCGGTAGGTTGATGACCTTGTTCTCCTTTCGTGGGACTTGTGCTGGGGCCACCCCGAGTTCCGACATGATGATGGCCAGGTGCGAGTTCTCGTCTTTGCAAATCTCGCCTTGGTGCTTCTCGATCAGGCCATGCATGGTGTATATCTCGTTTAACGTAATGTCCAGTTCCAGATCCTTCTTCGACAACGCCACGTAGTTGTCCATTTCGAGGCTTTCATAAAAGTCCTGCACCTCACACAGCTCAAGCAAAAATTTGTTGATGCGATCCTTGTTCGATTGGACAAAAGGTTGCAGCTTGGCCATGTAGGGTTCCTTTGCGTATGAGGGCTTGTTAGCCAAGTTCTGCAGCATCTTGGCGATGTAGGTGAGCGTACGTCGCGGGCGCTCGGCTGGTGTTCCGTCGATAAGCATGTATGATTTGGGCGTAACGATGGCTGGGTTGATGAAGCGTAGAAAGAAGAAACCCCCAATGAGCGTGCAGATCACCTGGTCATTCGCATCAGGATACTTGCGCTTCGTCAAACTCCTGATTTGCTTGCAGATCCAGCGGATACCGTACGGGGCCACCTCCAATCCCTCGATGATGGTGTTCAGGAACCCATTGGCGATTTCGGTAAGCATTGTCAATCTAGGCTCGATGATGGCTTGTACCTGCGCATTTTCGGCAGCCTGCTCCGCGGTGATGCCTTTGGGTAAATTAGGCGGAGGCTTGCCAGTGTCCTCCTCAATCTGCTCAATCATGCGCTCATAGACCTTCAGAGGATTAATTTCCAGATCCAAATCCCGCAGCTGGATCAAGCTATCGATTCGATCGGCGAGCACAGACTTGAGGAAGCTCTGGCCGGGGCCTCGCCGGGTGTAAGTCGTCATCATGCGTGATACCGGCGTGTTGGCTCGGAGAAGCGAGTTGAAATCGGCAGTCGTGTCGAATTGGTATGTCAGGACGGATTGAAACATGGTGAGCAGCAAGTGCTCCTCGCGGCTCTCGTATTGGTTTCCGTAAATCGTGAACATGACAGTCTGAAGAAGGGAGTCAATCTCCGCCATCGAAACCAGTCTGCACAGATGCGCAATGTGTCGCGGCTCGGTTTGTAGGAGGAACATGAGGTTGCCGTATTTCTGGGTTTTGTCGTCGTTAGGGAAGAAGCCCTCCTGCATGTCGGTGGCGTCCTCCAAGTGGCTCGCGACTTCGTTCTGCTCCTCCAACGCCATGCGGTTCTGAATCAACAAGGCAATGCGCGAGTCAAGGTATCGCACATCCTTCTCCAAAACAAAGTTCTTCTTGGACTGAGACGAGATCTTGGATTTCAGTTCACGGAGCGTCTTTTGAGCTGCGAAAAGTCAGCAGTCGCACAGCATGGCAAATTAAGAGAGTCGCACCTTTGGCCAGTTCATCTTCAATCTGGAGATCGCCGTCGTGTGCTGACATGGACATGTACAGCGCAGACATGGAGTAGCGTTTCGATTGACGCGCCGAGCGCGACCCGTCGTACGAAGACATTGTGTTTTGCCGTGTGAGAGGGTTGCCAGACGACGAGGAGGCTAGGGAGTCTCGCGACGGGTTATGCAGTTTGACAGACATGATCTTGGTTGCGGTCGAATTAGATGGTCGTATTAGGCACTCTGGCCCTCAGAGCCTGGAAGCTCTTCGACTTGCTGAGTCGGCTCCAAAATGTCGCACGAAGGCTGTGAGTCGTCGAAATACCGGCAATGCCAGGCTGGCGATGCTGTGGAAATGTGCGGCGCTGTGGCTAAATGTCGAGGTGCAAGGACACAGTACTAAGGAGGGGGACAAGCAGCGCAGCGACAACGAAACACAAGAGCCGAGAGGCACAGCGGCGAGTTGCGTGAAGAGAGCGGAGGGCTGGTTGACTGCAGCACGGGGGATGCAATCGTACGAGCCCGTATGATGGGCATGCGACGCAACAGAACAGATTTTGGAGGATTGGAAGGCGAGAATAGGGAGAAGAGAATGAGAGTGTTGGTGAGAGTGGTGTTGGCAATGGTGGGACACCTTGGAGTTGAGGGGGGTTCAGGGAGGAAGGCGCGAAAAACGGCTGCTCCTGCGTCCATGTCCTGGTCACCTTCCTACCCCTGGCTGACTCTCGCGATGCACCGCACGCGGGCGCCTGTTTAGAGGACGGACCCACCGCTAATGCTCCTTTCCCTTTAGTACCCCCATTATTATCGGTGCTAGACTAGACATGCAAGTAATAATTAGCCAAGTCAATTCAATCACATTTCCAGCCCGTCTTGTTTCTCTTCTTTTTTTTTCGCGCGTTTACTGCTAGACGCATCGACTCGCCAGTCCTCTGTCAATGTCACAGAGCCTCCTCAGCGCTGGCGGCCTGGCCATTATAGGCTGCGCCGGGCACAGACCAGCCCAGTAAGTTATTTAGATGCTGTTATACTCCGTACGTACCTCTTTGCGCCTCGAAGTACACGTACGTCAGTTTCGGTGGACCAGGCGCTTGTCTCAAGATGCCGCACGCCCAAACGAGACTTCTCATCGCCACACTGCTTGCTGGTCCGGACGACCCCTGATTTTCAATTCTTATGTGAGTTGGGAGCTCTCATCGCATGATTCGCATCTGGAAGGCCAAGTCTAAGCGACCACGCCATCCTGGCCGCCTAGCCTCGCTCTGGGACGCCATCATCTCCCACCCGGACTAAAGTCTTGACCAAGGTCTTGGCCGACGTGACGTCTGGAATCCCAGGAAACGCCCGTCCAACGGTCGGCCTGTGCTACGGCTCAGGGCCTGCAGGGGCAGGCTCTAGCCTCCAATCGCTTCGGCATGGTGGTGTGGGGGCCGTCGCGCCAGCGACAGCCCGAGGTGGCACTCACTCGTGAGACACTGCCTGATGTCCAGGGCAAGACACATTCAAATATCGTCCAAATAATCTTGCTATCGCAAGCAGCAGACAGATATGAGACCCTGCATTGGAACTGCCTGTGCAAATATCTATTGGAGCGGATACCGTATCGAGGGGATGGTCAGGGCAGGCCATCCATCCTACCAGCTGCGTACTATGCACCTGGCCCAGTTCGGCGCGAACTTGAGTTTATGGCTCTGGGGTATGAGTGTTATGCCAATTCGCCAGATCGACTGTGTCATATTGTGTGCGATGTGATAGAAAACGGATTGTCAATGCGCGGGAACGGCACAGCCTCAACCCTTGATGGCCCGACATCTCGCCAAGTAATACAGGTACGGAACCGCCTCAGTCGTTTCCCGAACAGCCATTTTTCTCATAGGTTCAGTCTCGCAGTACTCTGTAGTACGGAGTAGATTCCGTACACGACTGTTGAGAGTGAAGGTACGGAGGTACGTAAATCAGAGTCACCCCCGCCAGTCCGGCCCACGGATCTCCAGGGACTGGGGTTGAAAAGTACACGTAGGCTGGGCGTCTGCAAGGAAGACCCTCATGTTAAGGTCTGTGAGTCGTGAGACTCGTCACTCACTCGCGACTGTCCACCGGTTGGACCGTCCGTTGAAAGTTGATGAAACCCCCTGATTGAGGTTTGACGTTCCAGTGGTGACGCAGCATGGCGTTTGATTCTTTTTGAAACGCTGCTGTAGATCCTATTTCCTACGTTCCTTACTACATGTATCCTTTACCAGGCTCGGAACAATAACATACTGATTTAATTCTCCGTCACTCATCAAAGTACATGTACGTGAAACACCAATTTTCGATGAATCTTTCACATTGCTGAAATGTAGTCAACGAGAACTGCACTGGCATGGCTGGGCTACATATCAGTCTCTAATGTACTGTACAGTAAAAGAAGCTGGATCCATTGACTGCAGCCAAGGTACCATAAGCCGATATATCGAGCCAATGAACATAGTATATACTATGGATAGGCGTAAGCTATCTCTAGTTCTATCGAAGCATCTGAACAAGTTGCCATTCGATTGGGTGAATTTCCGATGATTTATTAAGGAATGTTCTCAGACAGACCTTTTCCGGGTCTTAGTGGGTGCAGGGTACCCGAGATTCCGAGGTTCAAGTGAAGCCCGATGTCCGGCCGGTCGTGCGGCCGCAATTGAATCACGGTGGTCGTGCCATATACAAGGCGCCGAGAAGCACTCGCATGAGCTTTGGAACACACAAGTAACCAGACGCTGCAGATGCATATATCGAGGTAATATCAATGCCATTCGCTTCCTGACACGTACTTCTTGTATCATGATGCTGTGTGGGTGACAGCTATAACGCGAGGGTCGCGAGATGATAAGCTCCATCGGCTGATGATGTAATAGTAATCCCCTGGTCTAAGGTACCTTGCCGTCGCGCAGTCCGCCTAAGGATCTTCGCCTTTGAACCTCGCAAAATCACGAGCGAAACCCAACCCATACAAAACCAAGCCAAATAACCACTCATCATGGCTCTTCGAATGCCTCTTCGTCGCGTTGCTCCCCTGATGCTACCGGCCACGACAGCCGCGCGAAGCTTCCACAGCACGCCCCGCGCCCTGGTCAAGGTTGGCGACGAGATCCCCAGCATCGAGGTCCTCCACGAGTCGTCGCCCGGTAACAAGGTCAACCTTGCCGAAGAGTTTGCCAGCAGCGATGGATACATTGTTGGGGTTCCGGCCGCGTTTTCCGGAACTTGCTCCAGCAGCCACATCCCCTCGTACATCAACAGTCCTAAGCTCAAATCGGCCGGCAAGGTCTTTGTGGTTTCGGTTAATGACGCTTTTGTGTGAGGATGCCAGGAAAACCGAGGTAGACCATTGACTGACCGTCCACAGCATGAAGGCTTGGGCTGACCAGCTTGACCCGGCCAAGCAAACTGGCGTAGGCTACAGCCATGTATCTTCAGCGCCGCATTGATACTAACATAAGTAGATCCGCTTCCTCGCTGACCCGTCTGCTGCCTTCACCCAGGCTCTCGACCTTGGATTCGACGGCACCGCCATCTTCGGCGGCGTACGAGGTAAAAGATATGCGCTTAAGGTTGTGAACGGCAAGGTCGCGGCGGCCCATGTCGAGCCTGACGGCACTGGCTACAAAGGTGAGCTAACTTGGGTGGTAGTGACACTCCGGCATATTTGGCTAACAGCGCCCAGTGTCAATGGCCGACAAGGTATTGGAATAGAACTATAACCGAATGGTCAGGACCACAGAGCACATGTACCATTGTGCGCATCTGCGGTTTCAAATTGGATTTTCTGCTGTGGCGCCCTTGACGCAGCGTCGACTTGGAAGCAATCGATGAAGAAGCAACAGTACCACTGCAACAAAGTTGAAATCATTACAATCTGACAAATGAACAACCTCCATGGCCAGAAAAGAAGAGAAATCGAGCTCTGTTTACGCTTCACTGCCCATCTGGCAGGCAAGAAAGGTCGAGAATCACTGTAGTCCGATTAGTCATGCATGACTCGGAGTGGATCCACCTGCTTAGTGCCTGCAGTTGCCGGCTTCAGCCTTGGCGCTTCGGCCCCTTCGTGCCCAGCGCCCCTGCCTTGCCTGCCTGATAATAGTGCCCCTCCACTCCATCTTCCTGATCTAAGGGTCATCCGTCATCACCATCCATCCGTTCGTCTCCAACAACTGCCTTGGCCTCGTGTTACGATCTTGGTCATTTTCAGCCATTCCTGGTCACGTTTGTCGATTTTCTGCACCCTTGTGCCACACAACCGAACAGACCTCCTCTTGCCCCGGCACTCGCCGTCGAGTCTGCCACTACTTGCTAGTTTGCTGCGAGCGTGACTCCCCGAAGTCCATTACCAAGCGGACCACCGCCTAGATCCGAAGCCCTTCTTTTGTTTTGTTTGCGATAGTACGCAGAGAGCATCGTGGTCTACCGCGTGCCTGCCTGGGTGGCCTGACCAGATTACAAAGCGCAGCCGCCATCATTCCGCCAACCACGAGGAAGCGGAAGGCTGCTGAGGCGACGATTCTCTCCCCAACCCGAGAAACCACATCTAACAAGAAGCCACTTGCCTCAGCAGCCACGGTTGAAGCGGCGCCTCCTACACCCGTGACCACCGGAATGGACTCTGACGACGACTTCATGTCTCACGGCTCGAGCGATGACGAGCTACTGCTCGACGACAGCGGGGACGACATGTCGGGGCCCGATGACTTCGACGATGAAGATTTCGACGAGCCTGACCCCGAATTCGGCCTCGGCAGCAAGGAACTCGAAGCCCCGAGAAAGCAAGCACATGTCGTACCCTTCAAGGTGTTCGACCCGACCGACATCCAGAAGCAGCAAGACGATATTGTGGACGAAGTCAACATGATTCTGAACATGAGCAAGGAGGACGCGGCGATCCTGCTCCGACACTTTCGGTGGAACAAAGAACGCTTGCTGGAGGACTACATGGACCGACCAGAACGTGTCCTGGAGGCTGCTGGGCTCGCCAGTACAACGACGGAACCCCCACAACTCGAGGTCATCCCCGGATTCATGTGCGACATTTGCTGCGAAGACGGCGACGATCTCCAAACATTTGCAATGAAGTGCGGCCACCGTTACTGTGTGGATTGTTACAGACACTATCTGAAGCAAAAAATCAAGGACGAGGGAGAGGCCGCCCGCATAGAATGCCCCTCGGATGGATGTGGCCGCATTCTCGACTCCAGATCTCTGGATCTTCTGGTCACCGACGACCTCGTCGACCGATACCGCGAGCTGTTGAACCGCACGTATGTCGAGGACAAGGACAGTTTTAAGTGGTGTCCAGCGCCCGACTGCCCAAACGCGGTGCAGTGCTCTGTCAAGAAGAGTAGTCTCGACAGGATTGTTCCGACGGTCGAGTGTCGCTGCTCATTCAGATTTTGCTTCGGCTGCCCCAATCCGGACCACCAGCCGGCGCCTTGCGAGCAGGTCAAACGTTGGCTCAAAAAGTGCGCTGACGACTCGGAGACGGCGAACTGGATCTCGGCCAACACAAAGGAATGTCCAAAGTGCCAGTCCACCATTGAGAAGAACGGAGGGTGCAACCACATGACATGCCGCAAATGCAAGTACGAGTTCTGCTGGATGTGTATGGGTCCATGGTCTGAGCACGGCACGAGCTGGTACAACTGCAACAGGTTCGAAGAGAAGAGTGGCTCAGAAGCTCGCGACGCCCAGACCAAATCTCGCACGTCGCTCGAACGCTACCTTCACTACTACAACCGCTACGCCAACCACGAACAGTCGGCCAAGCTTGATAAGGACATTGCGCAGAAGACTGAGAAGAAGATGGTGCAGCTGCAGAGCGCGTCGGGCATGTCTTGGATCGAAGTGCAATATCTCAACTCAGCGTCGCAGTCTCTTCAAACGTGCCGCCAGACGTTGAAGTGGACGTACGCCTTTGCTTACTACTTGGCGCGCAACAATCTGACGGAGATTTTTGAGCAAAACCAGAAGGACCTGGAAATGGCGGTCGAGAACCTGTCTGAGATGTTCGAGAAGCCCGTGGCGGACTTGTCCGACGCCAAGCTCAAAGTGGATATCATGGACAAAACGTCTTACTGCAACAAGCGGCGCATCATCTTGCTCGAGGATACGGCGACCAATCTAGCCGAAGGTGAGGCTCTTTCCGTGACAGGAGTCATCGTTCCCCTTCTAACAGCACTAGGCAAATGGGAGTTCAAGGAGGATCTCATGGCTCCGCGCCCGTAATCATGTGGACCCTTTAGAATCTGCGGGAAAGCAAGAGAGCATGGCATACAAAGCGTACCCAACGATTAGACTAGACGGCCGCACGCATCATCTGTTAGGAACGGCGTTGACAGCGTACATCATTTCACAGCCATGGGAGCTCGGTTTATGTGTTTTAGGAGGTTAGGGAATGGACATGATGAGATTATGGTTCTTGTGCCATTCGTGGAAGTTGTACTCAAATGCCTACAGTGGGCAATGTCCGCAATGCCTGAACTCCAAAAAACCCCTTGCTGTGGCCAAGACAATAAACCCCTTATCCATGCAGAATGTACCGTAACACCGGCAATGTCCCAAACAACCAATAAGGCAAACGAAGAAGAAAAGAGAAAAGAATATTCGCAAACACCGCCTATGCACTTGTAAAGGCAAATCGCGAAAAGTCAGGCTTCGACACAGGCGCGCTCTCATCAAAGTCCTCCTCATCCTCTCCGTCGCTATTGGGGATGATTTGGTCCTCGCTGCCGCCCATGGGTCTGTTCAGTGCCGCTATCTCTACCACATCGACCTTAGGGAGAGGGAAGGATGCGGGCTCCACCGGGTCGCCCGTGGACTTCTTCTTAGGGATCAGAGATTCCCGTGGCTTCGGCGACGCTGTGTTGGGCAGTAAGGCGCGGGCACCGAGGCGTTGCAAAGCGGAAAGGCGGGCACTCCCGCCAGCCGTTGACGGGCCGGTGGCTGGAGTAGAGACAGAACTGAAGACGGAAGAGCAGCGGGATGCATCGGATGCCGGTGTGTCAGAAGGTGTAGGTGCGAAGGAGTACCGGTCTAGGCTGCGTCGAGACGGCGTGTTGGCCGCGTGCAGTCGACTTGCTCTCTTTGGCGGCGGCATCGACCTTGTGGGAGACGGAGGAAGGTCTAGGCTATCGGGCTGCTGGCTGAAGGTGATTTCGGTCATGCTCGAGTTCGCTGTTTCTTGGCTTGTCGATATGCCAGATTCCTGGCTATCGTCCTTGATGGAAATTTTCGCCTTGCCCTTGCCTCTGGACGGCGATGTCTCCTCGTAGATAGAAATGGACTTCTTCGTCGGGTTAGGGGAGCTGAATCCCTCAAAGTCGGGCAAATCCATCAGCGCTTCGAATGTCCCATCCGACGGAACGTGCGAGTGTGTGGATGTCTTTTTGACGCTGAAGAACTTGCTCTTTTTTGGTGAGTCATCTTGCTCGTTTGAGTCATCACAAAGTCGTGCTTTCTTAGGCGGTCTCGTTGAACCGTCGCCTTTGGTAGGTTGAGGTCGTCTGCCGGCTGGCTCCATACTAGCAAGCATATTCTGGATGGGCTCGGTCCGTCTGCGCTGGAGCCTCGGTGAAGTTCGCGTAGGCACTCCTCCCGTGCTTTGTCTTGCCGTTGGCGGGCGGGCTGTATCTAGATACGGCCGTGGAAGAGGGAAGACCCTTGGAGCGGAACCCTCGTCTGTGAGCTGCGCCAGTCTTTGCTCGTCAACCTTGAAGCAGTTGGGGTCCATGGTACCCATCGGAATGCGGTTATTTCCTTTGAAGTAGTTTGTGATGGGCTTCGGGGGTGGTGGCGCTGGCACCGCAGCGACCGCTGCTTGCGAGTGTCTACGTTTCGACGGAGTAGTGGCGGTGGCAATCGGAGTCTTTGTGATGGGGTCGACGTCTCCCTCGGCGATTTGTCGTGCCACCGATGGTTCCACGTACGCTCCAATATATGGCATCTCCTCCGCAGTTCGACGATTGTCGAGATCCGTCAGATGGACCAACTCTCGCTTTTCCGGACAGAACACCCATTGGTGGAGGAAAGTCAGCTCAGCTTGGTAGAACTCGGACAGATAGTTTTCTGAAACGCGCTTGCCGCCCAGCTGCACCATCTGCACCACCCTCTCCGGCGTTTTCGATTTTCGCAGCAATCGATATGCCGTCTTCAAGCCGACGCCCGGCAAACCTTTCGTGTAATCGCAGCCGCTGAGGATGGCCATGCGTCGGAAGTCTTGGTCGGTCCACCCTGTCAAAGAAACCTCCCTGCATGCACAAAAATCGCGGCGATTGATTTCGATGCAGTGGCCGTACTGATCGAGCTTGGTCAACAGTCGTTTTGCCCCAAACACAAGCAGATCGGAGTCATCCGAAAGAATTCCATCAATGAGGCCCTTGCGCTCAAGGTAGACGAGCTGAGCGTCAGCCTCGTACGGAGCGACGACGTACGGGATGTCCATCTTCTTGAGTTGCTGAATGAGGTTGGATGCCATCTCGGGAGTGATGTCAATACACTTCTGGAACTCTTGTGCAGCCAAAGCCTTCTTGCCAGCCTTAAGAAGCTCCATTGCCAGCTTCTTCTTGTCATTGCGGCTCTTCTCGCGGCTGTCCTCAGTGGCTGCCTTGCTCGGGAGGTAGTCGCCATCAAACACAAGGTAAGGCTTGACACCAAAGTGCTTGAGCATGCGCACGCGCTGCAGGGCCGATGTTACATATCTGGGTGGTCAGCACACACAACGCACAAAAGTGGCGCTTTGCTCACCTTGTCGTTGGTTTGCCCTGGCCGAGCTCTACGGCGCAAGAGTAAGCAGCTCGATGCAGCCAGCCGTAGCCATCGACACCAAGTGTCAAGCCTTCAAGGTTTTTGAGCTCCGTCGGTCTCTGGATAGACTTGAGGAGAGGAAGAAGGCCTTTTCTGCGTTAGCTAGGCTGACATTGGTGCTGGAATCGTCCGAGAGACCAACCTTGGATACCCATGGTGCAGACTGCTATGCCGAGACAAAGGCAAGCGACCCAAACCTAGACTCAATGCTATTCTATCGCAGTCCGTGACACTCGAGATGTTGGTCAGTCGTCCAATGGGGTGCACTGCCACCTATATGGCTTTAGACGTGTTCGTTGGCACGCAACATGGAAGGTACGCGTGGGCTAAAACAGTAAACAAAGAGCCCTGGCGTATCTACAGCAAACGATGGACAGGCGATGAGGCTTGGAAAATGCAAGTAAGGGATTCAAAGTCTGGACAGCAAGAGATCGGAAGTTGAGCAAGTGCAAAGTCCAGATTAGATGGATGTCTTGAGAAGGATGAAGCATGGCAGGTAGTGCCTGGGTCCAGCGTGCCCGACGCGCCTGGCATCGATTTAAAGTGGAAGCTGCTGGGGAGCGCGTCTTGACTTCCCAATAGGGCTAGCTTCCGTTCGTCAACATTCCCCCAGCAACCTGGGGTCTCAGACAAGGCGACATGAGTAGTCTTAGGTATTTTTTGCGAGCAGACGTTAGGTGAGTCGGTATTTTCCTTCAGGTTCTCTGTTGCTGTGTGTACGACGGCTCTCCGCATTATAGTTGGGGAAGGTGAGCTTTGTTCTCAACAGATCATCAACCATAGATTCAGATGCATGACAGACACCGGACCCACTCTCGCCGGCGCTGCATTAGATAGAATTGTCTGAAATGAGGGCCATCGCCTGAGATCACCATGTGGCGATTCAAAAAGTGATAGAGAGCTGACAAGCTAAAAGGAGGGACTCTCCAGTGGACGGGGAACCGATGAAAAGACGTGTCATGCCGCATCCTTCTCGACTGTACTGTGGTGAAGCAGCAGTACGGACGGGGACCAATTGACCAATATTCAACCCACGGTGCTAAGTGCTAGTAGTCAATGTTATCTCCTGAATACTTCTGCACATAATTACACACACCAATTAGCCCCATGGCAGCCAAATTGTACTTCATTGCGAGCCTACTAGTATAGCTTGACCACATGCAGGCGTAAGATGTGGCCTTCCGAAGTGCCAAAGTCGCTTTAAGGCTCAAGCGGCGACCCTGATTGTGGCCCCGCGATAGCCCCACTGCGGGATTGGCACCGGCTGGCTCCACGAAATTTCTCTCTGGGAGTCGCAGCCTTCGAAAAGTTTCATGTGATGGCTTTCAAGTGAATAACACGACTCACAGAATCGAATCATCCAATAACGCACAATCCCGGATCGCCATCATGCCGAGCTCATTGCACAAGACGCGCAAACAAATCGCAAAGAAGCGTAATGGCATTCCCACAGCTCTTCACGAAAAGTCGCGAGACTCGATGCGCCTGCACAAGGCGACCATTCGCGACCAGCGCTTAGAGAAGTTGCACAGTGCACGGAGTAAGAGGGAGCTGCCTATCCGTAAGCCTTCATTTTTCAATACGACGTCTCGGGGCTGATGAGATGTAGTGGACAGGGCTGTATACTTCCAGGAAAGTGCTCGCGAGGTCGAAGGTGATGTGCTAGACATGGAGACTGTCCAGAGGCTGATCGAAACGTAAGTCGCTCACTCCAGAATTGGTGTCTGTACTAAAACCAGGCAGCTTCATCCATCAGTATGAAGAGGAATATTCCGCCATCAAGAAAGAGCGTAGGCCCGGGCGTCCGGCCTCATCGAAGGAGGACCTCCTTAAGATCAAGATTGCTGCCCTCAAAGAGGAGCACGAGAAGGGCTTTCGTGAGTACTACCTCGACAGCGACAAACAGCCAATACTGATCTGTACAGATATACCAGATGTAATGTCTGCAGACAGCGCAAGGAAGCTGGACGAGTGGGAGGGGAACTGGTCCTCATTAAAAAATGTCCCCTGGATCAAGGTCACCACGAACTGCCTTGCGAGACCGACCGATTTCCCCTCCAAGGCTGTGGCTTGAGACCCGGATCTCACTCGAATCCGTCCAACAAACACAAGCTTCACGCCCTGAGCATGCAATGGGCTCGGCGGTCGCTATAATCTTATGCCGCGCCCCTGCTCAGGTCACTTGTATGGCTGCTAAAGACGACGGCGCCGCCGGACACTCTCTGGACAGCACAGAGATCGGACACCCTTTGGCAGCGAGAGTGGCAACGCACGCCGCAACCCATGACGGACGGGCCCTTGCTGGACAACAGCTGCCGCGTGCCGGCGGATATGCATAATGAAGTGATGAGACCAGGTGGAATATCGGAGCCCATCAATGGTACATCATGAGGACATTTTGGCCTTTGCCGGGGGGGGGGGGGGGGGGGGGGGGGGGGGGGGGGGGGGGGGGGGGGGGGGGGGGGGGGGGGGGGGGGGGGGGGGG